TAGAAAATTTAGTGTACTTAAGGCTATATCTTCGTCGTCTTAAGCTTTTAAGTGTTGAGATGCGATCGACTTGTTGGTTCACAAGCCGGCCATGATCGTGTAAAATGGCTTAATCGTAGATCGATTAGTTTCTGAGATATAACCGGAAATGTAAAAGTGCAAAACCTACCGCCTAATCTCGCGAGAGCCGTACCTACCACCGCGCCGGGGCGCACCGGGTGCCACGTGGCTCTGTGGCAGCGGTCGAGCGTCGGTCGGTCGCGTTGGCTGACATTTCCTGACAGTGTGTCGGAACATTACCTATATTATCACGATGAACATGCAATATTGCCCGGTCTAATTATTCAATGTGACCTTTTTTAAGTCCAAAATGTTTTACAGCATGTAGGGGAAGGTGGTGGTGTAAGACGGACCAGCTACGGTTTGAGGCCGCACATCTTGCTACACTGCTCTCGTAACTCATATTGTTTATAGTCTCATGAATGCTCAATCCTTCCTGTTTTGATATGTGCAAAGACGGAATTTCAAATTAAATCTAGGTGGGTGATGCTCTTAAAGGGGGACATGTTAAAAACTCTCACAAGAAAAAACGCGGGGTAAGACGGACCACCTAGTAGTGCCTGCTATCCATTCATGTTTGGTACACTTTTAACCTTTACTCTTGTAGGTAAGTAGGAGTAACCAGAGTGGTAAAATAAAATGAGCATTCATTCCATAATAATATATGATGGAAGTGCAACTAAAGGCTAGGAACCTGTGTTGATTGTAGTTTGGCATGAATACATGTCAGTTGAGCACATGCATGCATGGCTCACATGCAACATGGCAACATGACACATGACTCCTTCCTGAAAAAATTAGCTTACTTAAACTTATGTCAATGTTTTGGAGAAATAACTTTTCATATGCAGGGTACAATGGACAACCACAGGGTAAGATGGACCACAGTGGTCCGTCTTGCCCCAAATATTGAATTTGTAATTACCATGACGTATATGTATAGCCCAACATTGCGAAACTTTGCCTGTCCTTAAGTATGACTATAACATTGTTCTTCATAGTAAAGTGCAAATAAAAACTTATCATGCAAGAAAGGCACCGAAATTAAATCGCCCTCTAATATTAGATCCTCTTATATTAGATATTAATCTATATGTATAATATTAATTAATTAATCTATATATATATATATATATATATATATATATATATATATATATATATATATATATATATATATATATATATATATATATATATATATATATATATATATATATATATATATATATATATATATATATATATATATATATATATATATATATATATATATATATATATATATATATATATATATATATATATATATTTGGGAAGCAGGTTCTCTCTGATACATATGTCATTAAACACGACAGCATGTTTGGTGTTATTCAGCTTTTTTGTTTCATTTTCGAGACGTCGGACGGTACTTCTTTCTTCATCGTTCAACGAGAAAAGTAACTCACCAAAAGAAGCAATGGCTGCGATCGAGATTAAAGTTGTCGTAAATCGGTTACTCATTAGGATGTAAATTAAAGTTCGTTCATAATTCGTTCGCTGTTATATTTATCTTAGCTTTCGATCAACATTGATCATCATCAGAGAAATGAATATACACAAATGATGCCGCGCAATATATGTCACAGATGAATAAAATATTAACATTTCTTCAAACATCGTCCTATTTGTATCATGGCACCACTCTTTCGAACACAAATCTACATCCAGCTAAATACACAGGTCTTAACATCGTTACCGTGAATATTTACATTGGGTCGCGCATAACAACAACAAACCATCATAATTCACAGATGACACATCGTTTAAACTTTCACACATTACATCATTTGTCTGTCGAACAGTGGAATGTTTGTCAGAGTTTTCATGTGTGTGTTGATGATGGGTGATGTGTCGCGGATGATGATGGTTTCGGTGATGGCCAGTCGTCGTTTGTCGTTTTGTCGCGCTATTATTGTGGTGTTGTTTGTCAGTAAGTCTCTCGTGAGTCGGGTTCCGTGCTGGTCATGAAGATGTGCCTTGGGTCCTCCGTCTTGTAAGTGCATAGTCAGTCGGCGGCTCAGTGATGTAGTTGTGTGACCAATGTAGTATACGTTGCGGGTTGCACAGTCCCCGGTAGAACACTTAAAACGGTATACTACATTGGTTTCTTGTAGTGGTGTAGTGGTCTGTTGATTGTTACGCATTATGAGTGAGGAGGTCCGTGGTGACTTGTAGTAAATTTTGAAGCGTACGCGGTGCTCAGGATTGACTGGAGTGACGTTTTTTGTGATGATGTCACGCATGGCTTTTTCATCTTTTTTTCCAGGATGGTGTGAGGGTGTTCACAGATGACACAGTTTAAACGATGTGTCATCTGTGAATTATGATGGTTTGTTGTTGTTATGCGCGACCCAATGTAAATATTCACGGTAACGATGTTAAGACCTGTGTATTTAGCTGGATGTAGATTTGTGTTCGAAAGAGTGGTGCCATGATACAAATAGGACGATGTTTGAAGAAATGTTAATATTTTATTCATCTGTGACATATATTGCGCGGCATCATTTGTGTATATTCATTTCTCTGATGATGATCAATGTTGATCGAAAGCTAAGATAAATATAACAGCGAACGAATTATGAACGAACTTTAATTTACATCCTAATGAGTAACCGATTTACGACAACTTTAATCTCGATCGCAGCCATTGCTTCTTTTGGTGAGTTACTTTTCTCGTTGAACGATGAAGAAAGAAGTACCGTCCGACGTCTCGAAAATGAAACAAAAAAGCTGAATAACACCAAACATGCTGTCGTGTTTAATGACATATATATATATATATATATATATATATATATATATATAATATTAATATATCTATATCCTCTAATATTAGATCGGTTCGACAATAAACAACATTTTTCTCAATAGCTCAAAATCCATACGACCTGGCCCCATGAGCCCAAGGTGGCCATTATCGCCGAGGAAAGCAGCAGATAACAGCAGCCATTCAGCCGGGAAGGCTGGTGGTCCGTCTTGCCCCGCTGGGCCGTCTTACCCCACCTTCCTCTACAGAACACATTTAGTTTTTGTAAGAAAAAGAAACTGGTTTAAGATGTATTTTAACCGCTTACTGAGCAGCAGCCAGCACGATTTTATCCAGAATTGGAGGATCAAAAGCATGCGATAGCATGCTTTTGCATCCGGAAATTCCCATTGGTGGGTCGCTGAAAAAAAGTTCGGCTGAACCTGTTTGTCAGTGAGTATGTGAGTGAGTTTGTCCAAGATTTTTTGGACCTGGAGTCTTGCCTGGAGTCAAAATGGGTGGACCGATCGGGACGAAAGTGGGACCGTTTAATTCGTCTCCGGCGAGGTAAACTTTTAGTGCTGGCCTCGGTTCGCTCGGTGCTTCGTGGCACATGCTATTCCGCTTCAAAGTTTCGGTGACACGAATTTTTTTGTCAAGGCTACAGGTCAACCCGAGGTCCGCGGGACACATCGGTAACACCTTGAACCAGTTTCCAGGGGGGTCACCGTCTGCGAGGGGTGCAGGCTGCACGTGCTGGGGTCGGAAAACCGTTTTGACGTGAGGTCCTCTGGCTCAAAGAAATTTTAAGCTATCAACCTCAAAATCGGTTCAATAGTAGTCCCAGGCAAGGCCTCCAAAATAATGCACATTTCATTGGGCTATGGATCCTCCAATTCTGGCCCAAGGCAACGCACGAGCGCTGCCGGCATCTAGTTGATAAATGAACTTGTATCTTGATCTATGACGTGATATAAGGTCAATGTATCGGGAAACGTTATTAGTCCCTGCGATTTCAGACCAGCATGACGTATGGAAAACCTGTGTGTCTCTATTTATGACCTGCTTTTTTGGGAATGCAATCCGATTGGTGTTTGCTCGAATGCAATCACAAATTCTGGAGCTATCGTTGTTTTTTCGTGTGTGTTTTGAGGCTTATAATTGACAATATGCTGACCGATTTCAAACAACATACAAACTGCTGTGACTGAGCGCTGACTATGTGTGGCAATGTTTGCGTTTTAATTTCACACTGGTATGCTTTGCTACGTGGGGTGCTGAATGGTTCCGTCTTTCTGCTCTTCTACAATAAGCCCTCTTTGCTCTGTCGATCGCCTACAAACATTGCACAAACTTCTGGCGAATTTCGAGTCAGTTATGTTTTCTTGCGTTGAATTGTATCGTTTTTCACTCGGTTTGAAGTGTCGCACAATTTCACGGGTCCCCTCCGACCCGTCCATCACCCCAGCAGCGATGTCGGCGACTCGTTCTGTGGGCAAACAGTGTACGGGTGGGCAGCTGGCGGCGGGCCGGGGGCGGCGCCACCTCCCCGGGTTGCGCCGTCAGGCCACACCTGCAGCCGCCAGCGCTGCAGCGTCAGGGGGCGGCCGTCCCTCCGGCGGCGGCATTTCGGCCTGACGTCCGCCGGCGGCGCCGCGTCACCCGCTCAGGGGGAGGGGAGGGGCGACCCGCGGAGGGCGCCCGAGGGGTGTCAGAGGGCGCGGCGACCCGGCCGGCCTGACGGCACATGTCACCCCACACGGGGCGACGTGTTGATTTTATTCGCCCGGTGTCAATCTGCCGGCTGTGTATTGATTGGCTGTTGGCTGCCTACGTGTCGGCCGGCGGCCATGCTTGTTGCGCGGCGCATGCGCGCTGGCGTCGGCGGCTGGAGGCGGAGGGCGCCCTGCCGGTGGAGGCTCCACTCGCCAGCGGGGAGCCGGCAGAGCGCCCCACCGCCGCCGCGCACTCCCCGCCGCCGACAACACCCGACTGCCTGAGGTGAGTCACCGTCCCTCAGCCGAGCTCCGGCTCCAGACCTTCCAGTTCTCCTCCACGGCCCTCAGCATCGGCCCCTGCGGCTCTTCAGGGTATCCCTCGCCCCCAAGCAGGCTGGACGGGGAGCTGACGGGGTCTCTGTCTCTGGTTTCAGATCGCCCGCCTTGAGCGCCACAGCGGCGAGCTCGAAGAGCGCCTGAACACCGCGGACCTCCGGCTGAGCGGCCTGTCCAAGGAGCATCGCCAGGAGCTCGTCACTCGAGAGGTGGGTCTTCGGCGCCCTCTGCCGAAGGATGGGTCTTTGGGCTCACTTTGCCGAGGGAAGGGTTTCGGACGTACCCAACCGAGGGTCAGGTCTTCGGCGCACTCTCCCCGGGGGTGGGTCTGTGGCTTTACCCTACCTAGGGGGTGAGTGTTAGGCGACCCTCCCAAGGGAAAGGTCGATGTGTGGGCCTTGTCCACGCCCTATTGCAATGGTTGATGCGGGCGCCACAGCGTAGGACTCAGATCCTCTCGCTGGTAAGCGCTGCTCTCGTCCCGACAGGTAGTCATCAGCTACCCGTCTCCCATTTCCCTTCTCACCTAGTCCATGAAACACTCATGCCTTGTGTTGCGTCTTTGCTGAATAATCGTCGCTTGCTCGAGGTCAGTCGTCATGTTCGTCTTTGTTCGCTCGAGTATAAAGTCACTCGCTGTTTGTTCCTGATAATGGCGCAGCCATTGTGTGCCGCGTTTTGAACGTTTCACGCTACCTTCCTAGGCGTTACAATTGGGAACGTCGGGCTCCGTGTTGCTGATATTTCTGGGCGGGACTTTACTTTGGTGATCATTGAATATATCCGCCACATGTCCATGTGGAGGAGTAACCTGACCGCCCTGAGGGTATGCAATTGTTGAGATCAAATTAACTCATTGGGTAACTAATTTTGAATATGTCTGTGTGGTGCTTGGTGAGAAACACAACCTCAAAAGTTTGACACTTCACTTTTTCTCGGCGGCCATATGGACTGTCGTTCTGCGATAGTTTATCAACGAAGCCTTCAGATACCTGTCGGGCCGGGTTTTTAGGACAGCTCGTCCCTATCTGGCCGCGGTATCTGATGTTTCTCGGCAGTTTTTGTCCGTCTGCCTTGTCCGCAGTTAATGAACGGTGTATTCTGAATTGGCTTCTGGGGCTCTGCTGCTGTTCTTTCGTAGCATTGACGCTACCGTTGGCGTTTTTATGCTTGCATGTCTGCGCTGATATACTTTAAGATTTTATCCTCTCTTTATCGTTTCTAGCGCTATCCGTTTCTCCATGTTTTGCACAGTTATAGACCGTGCCGTGGTGCTCAGCATCTCGCGTTTTTAATTGAAATCAGACGGTCCTTTCACGGCCGTCTTGTTGTGAGCGGCGCTCACCGTCACGCGGGGAGGTCACTGCGTGCAGTTTCCCTGGATACAAAACAGCACCGACTCGGCCCGCACGGCACGCACACCCACGGATAAGATCCAAGGCTCCCCGGCCGCGAGGCAGCGTCCGTGACGGGAGAGCGGTCTGACACATCGGGAAATACCAGCCACTCAAATCACAGCTGCATCTCCCAGCTCATGCTGAGCATTTCCCGAGTCAATCGCGATATGAGCTCATCCTAAATCAGGCGTCTTTTCTTCGCCGTCGCCCAGCCTCGATCTTTGAGCAGACCGTATCAGAGTCTAAAGTCTAATGAGTTAAAGCCTCAGAGGCTAATAATCTCGAAACTAATCTGTTGCTCACTGCTCCTATACTTCCGGCTACTTTTGACCCTTTGGGAGTTAAATTAATTACTGTCGTGACGTGTGGGCGTCACCTTTCCTGCAGTTTTACGCGCAGTTTTATGTTGTTTATTTCGCGATTTTCCGTTTTCCTAAAGACCAGGTGCCATTTTCAGGTCACTGTCTGTATTGCAGGGCGGCCGATATCACATAGCTGGTGGCATTACTCACGCCGATCCTATCAATGTATTGAGTCGTAAATCATGGCTGCATTACGAGTATGTGTTTTTTTTTTGTCCCCAGGAAATCCATGTTAACCTTAGTCTGTCATGACATTGCATTTTCAGTATCAGAATAAGTTGATTAATTCTTAGAATGTGTTAAAAACAATACTAACTAAGCACTAAATCAGGTTTCCATTTTTACTCGCCGACTCGTGCGTAAAGGCAATAGTCATGCAAGGAAAGGGATACTGGCTTTAGGTGATGGCGTCGCTAAAATTCAAACTACCTACTTCCTTCCGTGTGTTATCAGCCTTCCGAGTGTTTTGTACCCAACACCACGAAGACTTGTGGCGATAAACGTGCACTAAAGCTAAGCCAATACAGGGGCATGGTATAGCATCAAACAGCGTTTGCTGCGGCGAGTCGCAACCACTAAATTATATGAGTATGTCGGCAATGCCAAATTTTCATAGCCACAAACTCTTTTTGTTGGCTCTAGCTACATTGTTCTCATTTCGATTCGATATTGATTTTATTAGCTTGTTGCCATGTTTGGGTTATTGGATTTGCCATTCATGAATTCAACATTGTACATTTTGTCAGAATTTGGTGCCGAGCGGCGAGCGCCATTTTAGATTCAGTTACATCGGATTCAATTAGATCGAATCGTTTTTTCAGTTCTCAATGTTTATTTTGCGAACTATTTAGTGTTCACGTCCCTGGTCACTAAGCTTAAGATATAAATTTGGATATCTGGTTTCCAAATTTTCTTTATTGAGAAAGTTCTATCCGTCAAACTGCGGGTATGTTCGCGGGTACTTTTTCCGGCGCTGTGTCATCAGCCTCACATCTGGTGGGCTGTTTGCCGCGTTTGCGGTGGAGGGGCGGCTGTTTTTGCAGTGAGTGGGGACACAGGTGTGTGACAAACAGCCCGGCGAGCCTCGTGTCACAGCGAGTCGCAGACGTTAGGCGCCGCGTGTCACTCACGTGTCAGTCAGACGGTGTCAGCGAGTGTCAGTCAGACGGTGTCGAACGGTGTCAGAGTCGGTTAGACTCAGCGGTTATTTCGCCAGAGTCTCCCCGAGTTGGGCATCATTAAGTTGCAGTATTTAGCGTTGCTTTGCGTCCAAGCTGCTCTGTCCTGCTTGGTTTTACCTTGCCTTATTGGATGATCATAAGACTTCTTGGCCGCTAAGCATGGAAGTCATTTGTTTGAAAACGGGTCCCATTTGAAATTCGAGATATCTCGAGTTTTTGGTATCACACTGCTCGAGTAATTGTGGCTTGCGCTGTGTGCTATGAGTTCGTCATAAAACTGGTAGATGGATATTTTTAAAAGCAGCTGTAATTTCGGCGCTGTTGTATTTATCCATTACATCAACTCCAGCCCAGTTTCTCTTTGTGTTTTCCTCCACACCGGTTCGCGCTCGGTGTTTGACCGCCGCGCCCCGGTCCGTACAGAGCCGACCCGTACTGACGGGCCGGACCGGCCCGGACCGGACCCGTACCGCCGGGCGGGACCGGGGGCGGAAGTCGGCCCCCACCTGCTAATGGCGGCGGCCGGTGCGCCGCGTTCCGGCCCAAATGCACCTCCTATCTTGGCGATCTGGGCCGATTGTGCAATTGGCGGGGCAGATGTCACGCTCTCGTGGTAGGGCACAATGCCGAGCGGGACGGCGGAGGGCGGACGGCGGCGGTGGGGCTGTGCACTGCCGCTGCACGGCGCGCCGGCGCGGCGCGACGGACATGGCGCGGTACTGGTACAGATATGGTGCGGTACCTTTTGTTGGGACTTTGCTGGATTTCAGCTCCTCCATGAAAATCCGCAGCGGAATGTTGTCAATTTTCATCTCATTGATTGCAGGGAATTCGCCCCGCCTGCTCTCTGGTGCGCTTTTATATCAGTTCAGAGTCCATATTGACGTTGAAGGCAGTTAAATGTATTCTGGAGGGAATTTTCGTGACTCAGAGATAACCTACCAGGACCGGCTCAAGCGTTGCATAAGAAGCTGAATGGGAAACTCCGATCGCAATTGCATAAGACGAACGGTTTTTATTAGATTTGTTGTGCTCCGTGCTCTATCCGTCGGGCGTCGGTTTCGCGTTATAGCTTTTGAAAATTTATTAACAGTCGATGTGTTTAACCCTCGCCCGCACATGCCATTTTCCCATCCTAGAACGCACATGGGGGGGGGGGGGGGTTGCCACCCCCCCGCGCCATTTCGTTCCTGTTGGAGATAGAGCTTAGCAGTAAAGACCAAAAAGATTCTTTGGGAAGAGACGAATCCAATGATACCCAGTTTAACCTTCTCAGGTCAGTCATTGACCTTCCAGGTCAGGTCAAACTAAAAAATGTTGCTGTTTTGGGTCACCGTTGGATATCAAGTGCGCTGCTTATCAAATACCGATGACGATGCTGTTTTCTGGTGCCAAGCCAGCTAGAACCTCTTTGTCACACTATCCGACCAGAATTTTGCTGCTGAGGTCATTTCAGGTCAAGTTAGGTCAAGGTCAATTATATGTGTTTGTATGTCTGTGTGTGTCTGTGTGTATACTGATGTGCACACCGATTGTTTTTGGGTCCATATCACATGAAATCATGATCTGAGAAGCTTTTACCAAAAATGCAGTCAAAAAACTTCACAAAAAGTAAATTCAGCTTGCCTAAAACGCAATTATCTTAGATGACCTAGGTTGACCTTGACCCTGACCTTGACCCCTGTACATCGTCGAACAACATGTTCTATGATAGGTGGGAGGTAATACTGGCAAAAAAGGCCGAAATCAGGGTGTCAAAAGCTCACAAGGCCCATGGCAAACGCAAGATGCTGAGAATTGGCCATTTGGGTCATGACATGACCTGAAAAACAAGGTCATATCTCCGAAACCAAAAATCACAGAAACTTGAAATTTTCAGTGGACGTCAAGAAAGGATAGACGAGCAGCTATACGAAAAATCAGCCTTCTAGCTAAAAAAATGTTGAGTGCAGAGCAGAAAGACTGCCTGGGGGGGGGGGGTGGCAACCACCCCCCCCCCCCTCATGTGCGGGCGAGGGTTAACACATATCTTTTCATGTATCCATTGAATTCTACCGTAATGAAATGCATCGCTTGTGTTATTAGTCGATGAGTTCACAGAACGCCCTGAAGGCGCGAACACCAAAAGGTGCGAACTTTGACGCCCTTAAACCAACTACTCTTCTCAGTCGTGGGAAACTGGAACCTGACGCTCGGAACATTCCTAGTCTGCTTACCTGAGATGTTTGAAGAGTGAATTCAGATAGGGTAAATATTCTTTCGATATTTTTGTTTGACATCACAAACTGGCAGCAGCTCCGGTCCGACGTTCCGATGTAACATAACCGGTCGGGGTACACCCAGCACCTCCCGTCGCCGGTCAGCGCTGGGTGGGGCTCAGCTCTGCTCAGCGGGCTCAGCTGGGGTACCGGCTAGGCTGGGCCGAAATATACGAGTAGACCCGGGTACGGACCGGGCCGGTCCGGGAATCGCCCTGGTATGGCCCGGAGTACGCCAGGGTACGGGCCGGAATACGCCCGGGTACGGGCTGGAGTACGTCCGGGTACGGGCCGGAATACGCCCGGGTACGGGCCGTAATACGCCCGGGTACGGGCCGGAATACGCCCGGGTACGGGCCCGAGTACGCCCGGGTACGGGCCGGAATACGCCCGGTTACGGGCCTGAATACGCCCGGGTATGTATGTACGGGCCGGAAAACGCCCGGTTACGGGCCGGAATACGCCCGGGTATGTACGAGCCGGAATACGCCCGGGTACGGGCCGGGCCGGGCGGTGTCTGTGAGCCGGGCTCTGCGCGGCCCGCTCGGATTAGAGCAGAACTCGTTTGCGGGATTTGGTCAGCGCTCTGTAACTCAGCACGGACCGCGCCGCGCCGCGCCACGCCGCACGGCGGCCATTCTGGAGGAAAGGCGGCGTGTGTGACGTCTGCGGGCCGCGCCCTGCCGGGGTTCAGCAGCGGTCGGCGGGTGGCAGTTCTTTGTCGGAGCCCGGTGTACGGCTCCCTGGTGCGTACTGCAGGGAAGCCGGTATAGCGGGGTGAATGTCCGAGCTGCGCGGGCCGACCTAGGAATTGAATCCGTTCTCCAAAATGATGCGTTTTTTCTATGTGCGGATAATCGTGGATAGGCATTAGGTATAGCTAATTACTAGAAGCCGTATTGGTGCTCTGCAGTAAGGGAAGTACGAGTCTACAGAACTGAAGTCGCCACGCTTGAAAGCTTCGTAATACAATGATTCACTCCGATGGTAAAAATGTACCTGTCACATAAGACGTAGCAAGCGATTATCTTTGTCAACTACGTGATATCATTCTTCAAGGGAACACGAGCACATGCGAAGTTTTTCCTGCATTATGAAACAAATGGTAGCTGTTTGAGTGTGCAGTGTGCAGCGTCTCTAAGCATTGCCGTCCCGACTGGGAGCGACTGTAAGATGATGGAGCCCTGCCGCCCCCCGTTTGGGAGGCTATTGAGCCTTGTGCGCCCCGCCGGCCGGCTCCGTTCCCGACTCCGTCACCTCACCTACCGCACCTGCGCCGTTCCGCCGCCGCTGCCGCCGCCCCGCGGCCAGATAACGCTATCTTGTATGCCTTGGCCTGAGTCAATAGAGAGTATTTGCCATTCGCATGAGCCAATATTTAGGGTGGGCGAAAGCCGCGGCGGGCCGGTGCGGCGCCGGCCGGCCCGTGTACTGTGGCGAAACACAGGATGTGCCGCCCTCGACCGGCCGTGGACCGGCCCTCCGGTGTACCCGGGGCCTGATTTTCCGGTGTACCCGGAGTACCCGTACTCCAGGGTATCCCGGTTACCGTCTCTCGGTGTACTCGGAGTACCCGTTCTGCGGTGTACCCTGGTACCGACCCATGGTGTACTCCATACGGGAGCTGGCTCTCCGGTGTACAGGTTACAGAGACCGCAGTTTCACATTTAGTCGTTGACGTGATCCTCGCCGGCACTCGCTACATGCCAGACGGGCTCTGCAAATATCATGCATCCCATCAGCGTCCGTTGAGACTTGATGCTTATCATCTTAGCACATAGTGTGCAGTCTAAGACATTTACAGTCCGCCAAAGCCCTGCCTTGATACGCCGAGTCTCGCAGGAACAACCTGCCGTTATCCAACATCGCGTTCAAAATGAACACCGAACAATGGAGAACGCCTCAGGAAACCGTTCCAGTGACTGCTCTCTCTGTTCTCAGCCGGTATGGTTATCTTCTGGATGGTGTAGGATTGTGTAATCGCCCTCAGCCTCTCCGGTACAAGTCGGTTAGCGTTTGTCGAGAGGACTGCCGCCATTCCCGCGCGACGGCACCGCCTCCGGCCGCAGATTTTCCGACCCGAGTGCCCCGCCTTGCCGCCTGAATAACCGGCCTGTCGGACTAAATGTTCGACAACAGCTGCGTTGCAGACTTTGTTTCAGTCCTGCTTTACGTCTGCTTGTTCCGAAGTTTGCGATTTAGCCAGATATTTATCCAACCGTGAGATGTGGGCGACAGTAGCTAGTTTGTGGCATTAAACAGGCGTACTTCTATTCCATTTTATCTCAGCTTGCGTAGCATGACATCATTATCCGCCTTGATTCCATTCAGCATTGAATAATCAGTAGGTGGATGCAGTCTGCCACACACACACTGAAGTCTGAACTCTTACGTCATGGTTGAGCTCGCAACACAGCTCTCCGCCGCGTCTGAGCGTCCTATTCCCTTCGATTGCAGAAGGAGCTCCTGAGCCTCAGGAACCAGCTGCGCGATGCCCAGGATCGGCTGGAGTCGGGCAGCGGCGGCCATGACGAGACGGAGACGGAGACGGAGACGGAGACGACCTCCGGCTCCGACCTAGACGACCTGCTGGCCGCACAGAGACGCATCAACCAGCTGACGGCGCGCTGCGACCAGCTGAGCAGAGAACGCAGCCAGCTGGTCAAACAGGTGAGTCCAACGCAGCCAACTAATCATAGTGATCTAACGCAGCCAGCTGATCAAACTGGGGGGTCCAACGCAGGCAGCTGATCAAACTGGGGGGCCAACGCAGCCAACTGATCAAACTGGTGGGTCCAACGCAGTTAAGTGCTCAAGAGGTGGGTCCAACGCAGTCTTTGTTGTCCAGGAAGGGGACCGGCTGACGTTGGTTGGGTTGCCGGATCACCTGGAGCGCTGCTTTCGATCTTGGCTGTAAGACAGGCCCGGTGTGCCCGGTGGGGTCGGCCGGCGGCCCCATAGGGGCGCCCGCTGCCCTGGGAGGCTGCGGGGCACTGACCCCGGGGGGGGGGGGGGCACCTGCTACTGCAGTCGCTACTGGTGCGGGCGAACCGCCGAAACGACCGGGCCCGCAGCCGCCTCCCTCCCAAACAGGAAAAGGTGGTACCTAATGCAACCCGTTCCTAAATTGCGTCCAGCCGCGGCGGCGTTTTCTAATCACCTGTCAGGCCGCTCACGCTTGCGCTGGGCAAAGTAAGCGGTTGTTAGGAAATATCCTCAAAGGTTTCCTTTTTTGCATGCTTCCTGCGTTCCAGCTGGAAATGCATGCCTGTTGGGCCTTTGTGTTCATTTGTGTGCGGGTCGCTGATCTGGGTAAGTAGTTGCTGCTGTTGGCTGTGCAGTATCCGCCGTCCGCGGTCGGTGCTCTGCCGTTCGCCGTTTGCTGTTCGCCGCTCCCTGCCCAGTGCCCACTGTCTGCCGGCGCTGTAAGGACGGGCTAGCGTCGGCACTGTGGCCGCTGCCGGGTCCGCTGTCTGGCGGGGCCAGTTTTTGGCCGGTCGCACCGACAGACGGACGGAGGAGCCCGGTTTTTGGACGCGCACGGCGCACGGACAGCGGTCGTTAGCCGGCCAGGGCGCTGCCCTTCCGGCAGATAGAGACTGGTCACCGGTCACCGGCTACTAGTCACCGGAACTGGTCAATGGTCAGCGGTCACTGCGAACTGTCTTGCCCCTTCAGCGTGCACGGTTCCATCGCACCACCGAGGAGGCTGAGGGTCAGGACTCAGGAGGTCCCGCCGGGACACAGACTCAGACATGTTCGGCAGTGTCCGCGACAGCTCGCCGACAGCCGCGCCTGTCGCCGCCGCCGCCGTCGGCCGGTCAGCGCAGTAAAAACCCGCTGGCCTTCCGTTTGGAACGGCTGCATCCTGGGACGCCAGTACGACGGGCGGCGTGGAATCGCCGCGGTCCGGTCGGCCAGTCGGAATTCCTGGCCCCTCCCCGAGGAACCTGATCTTGGACCGCAACTGATCGCTCTCCGCTCCCTCGACCCCGACTGAGCTCAGCCACGGTACTGGCCGCCGCGCCAGTCTTTCGGTCCCGGTCCTCTGCCGGGCCGATATACCTACTCCACCCCAGCTGTGGGGCGCAGCACTGTGGGGTACTGGACGCCTCCCCTCCCAGCGGTGGCCCCAGTTGACCCCGGCTGACCTGAACTCGGTCCGTGTCGGCTGGACAGAACTGTAACAAAAACACGGCCACATAATACCGACCAGTCGCTGCCGCCGCCACCGACTCCCAAAGGCCACTCACTCGGCGCAAACCTTCACGCCTCGCGCTGTGGTGCGGAGCTATTTTTACATCAATCAATGGTCAGTTATGACGCCGAACTTGAGCTGGGCACTTTTGTTTTGTTCGGTTCCTGCTTTGAGAGTCCTGAGAGGCTAATTCGCTCAGCACGAACGCCATTTCTTCCCAGCGATAATCACCTCGCGCTCTGTACTGGTCGGCGGATTAGAAGTTAGAGGAATATCCCGGCTGGCCTGGACGGTGGTGGGGTGCCGATCTGGGGACTGGTGCGCGACCGGCCTCCCTCTGGACATGGGAGGGTGGCTATTCGCCCTGACTGGGCTGTGCTGCCCTCCAAAACACTCGGGCACTCGGTCTGTCCCGCCCTCCAGGGATGACACGGTCACTCCTCCGGGGGTGACCGGTCAGCTCCGTCGCTACCCCGGGCCACCCTGCCCGCCGTCCGCCGGTCCACATATGCAGGGTCATGCCGCCCGTGTGCCGTGCATGTATTGTATGACGGCAAGGAGGGAGGGAGGGAGAGGACTGACGGCCGCCCTGGCGCCCCTCGCGCCGCCCTCGGTAAATAATGCCGCCGCACACCTGGCTCCGAGACCGGGCGGTGGCGGTGGCGAGTCTGACCGCACGGACCGAGAGCGAGAGGCGCCGCCGCCGCCGCGGTCAGGACAGTGGGCGAATCGTCCTGCTGTATCGCTGTTCCGCCGCAACAGGAGCGGCCGCGGCGGCGCGCCGATGAGGTGACCCGTCCGGCCGCTGCGCGGTCACTGTATTTGTTCCGAGTCGGGGTCCACTGACCGCAGCGGGGCCGAACGGGAAACCCCCGAGTCAACCCCGACCACCTCGTTAGAGTGTGGTGCGCTACTGTAGACGCCCTGCGTGATAATGCATTCGGTCATTGCCTTAGTTATCCCTAACTGTGAATGGCGATGATTCGTTCTCTGGCGACCTGCGACCGAGGCCATCCTGAGCGGTCACTGTGTGTCATTTGACTGGTCAATATTCATTAAATGACCTGTATCGTAACTGCTCCTCTCTCAACTTTTAAGCTCTGATCGACGAGCGTTTGACATAACGGACAAGTTGCTATATAAATCAAAACTATCAGTAGTAATTCAAGTATGTTACCAAATGGTGACGGCTGTAGGCATTTTATGTGTCATCACTCTCCGAAGAAAAGCAGCTCTAGACGTCTACCTGCGTCTGTTTGGGGCCGCCCCGACCGTATAGGGTAAACGGTAATGACTGGCGCCCCTTTGTTAAAATCTGCTGTGATATATTTGGGGCTTGATTTATAAATATAGGTAAAAAATATACGTATAGCACTAGGCTGTCTCACCAGTCTATATTTCAAACATTTCTGCACTCGCTGCAGTGCTGCCTCAAACACACACCGCGGGACTGGCGTCTGACGATTTGACGGATGTGACGCATGGACAGAGTATGACGGGGAGGTCTGACTTCAGTCCGTGACGACGTGGCCGGGACGTGACGTTACTCTCTGACAGTGACGTGACGTCGGCCTGACAGCCATACCAGTACGTGGCGGCCTGTGACGGCCAGGCCAGGACGTGACGCCGTTCCGTCACAGGACGTGACGTGCTCCTCGGGCCGTTTCGACACCGTCGCGGTGGCGTGTTTTCGGCAAACATTTGCCGTCGCCGGCCGCCGGACGCCGTTGGGACCGGGACGGCGGGCGGCGGACGGTGCTGTGCACACCTGGGGCCGCCGGCAGCCAGGGGCGGGAGGCGGGCGGGCCGCCGTCGCCACAGCGCCGATAGGGCACGCCCGGTGCCGGCGCCGGTCCGCCGAGCCGGGACCTCAGGCGGGGCGTGGGTGGCAGACTATCGGACTGGCTGCGAACCGGGCGGCGCCGGCAGGCAGTGGGCTCGGTCAGACCAGAGTGGGTCGGACCTCTGCTGTATCTGGCGACGACTGGGTGAGTGGCCAAACCGTTACGGTTGCACTTGTAGGACGGCTTTTACTGCACAATGCACTGTATCTTGCCATAACATATGTTTTGTATTTCTCAAGTGTCGTAGTACGGCGTATTACTTTTCAGTAACCCTCGACCTTTCTATCTGCCTCAAGTGCCTGCTCAACAAGTCTATTGATCGATTCTCAAGTGGGACTGAGAAATTGATAGGCCATTCTTACATAATGGCATATCATCAGGGCATCGCTGGCATTCCGTGACTTGATCCGATTCATAGATGGACCGCCGGCCGGCTGGCTGGCTCTCCGCCTCTGACGCCACCAATGTGGAATGTTCAGTCCGGCGTGGTGCCCCGGCAGTCGGTCGGTGACGCAGTATCCCACCCCTGTGTCTCTGCGCCGCTGCACGTTCTGTGGTGCCGTGCACCGGCCGCGGCCGGCAGGGGCGTGCTGCCGGCGCGCCCTGTTTTCCCGTGTCGGTCTCAGTTTCCGCGGCCGGCGGACGCCGGGTGGGGTCGAACGCTGCTCAGAGTATCCTTATAGGGCACACAGCACATAACTCCATCCAGCACGGTGAAACGGGGTGGAATTTACCCTGCAATTGTGAAGCCATAGACCTCAGTATACCGTGGCACACCGCGATCCGTGGTAGAGCCGATCGCTTTCGATTCAAACCTGTACGCGGTGAACCCGCACCACGGCGCGGCTGCAGACTGTTCCACACTGTAATAGCCGCTATGGCTGGTTTTTGCCGGCTCTATGGCGCTCCCGTTTGCTGGTCCCTGTGACCCGTTGGCGGAGTGCCTGCAGTCTGGAGTCCAGAGGCCGGAGTCCGGAGTCCGGAGCCCGGACTCCGTGGGAGCAGTCCGAGTCCGGGCGAACAATGGCGCGGCGCCGTATTTCGCGTCACGTCTGATCGGCCGGTGCGCGGCTCACGTCACGTCTGATTGGCTGGTTGGCGGCGTACGTGACGGCCGAACGGTCGTCATTATCCCGTCACGGCGCTGCCACAGACGGAAAGGAAAAACGCCGCCACCGCCGCACCGCAGCGGCACGCGCTTCCTGGGGGACTCGGAACGGTGCGACCTCAGGGCGGTGCAGCTCAGAGTCTCTGGGCCTGAAACATGTAAGGACCTTTTAAACGAAAATCAAATTGCTAAACCCTAAATTAAAGGGACTATCCCACCTTTAACATGGGGTTTGAGTTGAGATAGCCAAGTTTGCGGCGAGGTTCAGAAACCACTATCTATCTAGGTTGCAACCCCCGCGGCCTCTTGGTGTTGAAGAAATTCGTTCCCTTCATTTGAAAATGGGCCTTGTGCAAGGCCCTATCTTCAACATGGAGCGACCGTTAGTTGACGTCACCTCGTTTAGTCATTCTGATTTAAATGGGTTTGTTCGTTGAAAAATCGCTTAAAACTTGGTCTGAACTTTGTTGTGGTGCCTACAGAGTAAAAAGAATCAGCTTTATGACAGTAATGTGGCCTGTGGAAGGAGGTAATTTTCGGCTGTGACGTCACATATTTGAAAGTTTGTGTTTGGAATATGGGAAGCCTAAGATGTTTAATGAAAAATAAATGCCAGAACCGTGTTCCTGGTTATCCAATTTATAAAGTCGGGCACAATTTAACTGGTTTTAACAACATTTTAGAAGGTGGGATAGTCCCTTTAACCAACTTCCTGCAAGGTTTTTTTTGAAATTGGAATCGTTCATTGGCAGTCAAACAACTAAAAGCTGCTGATTTGCTTATGTGACCATTGACCAGGTGCTGCGAGCGTTTTTGAAGACCATGTCCGTCACTGACCTGCCCCAGACCGCTGGCCGGTCTGTTCCCCCGCGGCCCGCAGTAAAGCCGGACGGTAGGTATATACGGTGAGGGTGCCGACTGCCGACCGGTCTGCCGGCTCGGGTGTCCCGCCCGTCCGGTGTCGGTGTCAGGGGCGGGGTACGGGGGACGGGGTACGGGGCGGGCTGTGTCGGCTGCGGTAACTGCACCTTGTGGAGTGCGGAGTGCCTCCGCCGCGGACTGTGCAGGAGCCGGCCTCCGCTGCGGAATTATCCGCCGAGTGCAGCGCTGACCGCCGCGGCAGGTATGCGGCCCTGACCCGTCCGGTGCTGTGTGTGACCGGGCCGCCGCTGCACCGCTCTCTGTGTGTACTGCACACGGCGCTCCCCGGCTCCCCGACAATCCGCTGACAGCCGCGCCCCTCGCCCTCTGTTGCAGCTGGAGCCGGACGAGCGGCATGGTACCGCCGAGCACACCCGGTCGCTGGAGGAACGGATACAGGTCAGTTTCGGGTGAGGGCAGGGACGGGGACGGGTCAGTGTGACGAGGGTAGGGATGGGGTCGGGTCAGCGGTGGTGATAACAGTTGACTGGTTTGCCGACAAATATATGCTTACTACTTAGGCCTTAGAAGGCGGCATGTGCTCACACTGGCATTTGCGCAACGTTTCTGGTGACACATCAAATCTGTTTGTGCATTTGCTAACACTTGTTTCGTGTGTTAGCAAGCTTCTCTGCCGTTTTGCGGTTTCAGGCTAAGCTGCATTTTTACGTTTGGTATATCCGTGGGATAGGTATGTTCTTACAACATTAACCTGTCTTATCTAAGTTCAGTAATTTGAATCCGTCTCAAGCGCTGCTCGCTGCGCTGAGTGCGAGTTTTTTTTTTCGTATAGCGCCGCTTGGGTCGTGAGAACTGAGTCCGCAGCAGAATGCACTATCAGTTTTACAATCCTGTGAGCCTGCGTCGGAGGCTGGGTCGGTGGACGGCCGCCGTACTTTGGACGGCGCGCCGCCGCAGCGGCCGACTGACCGGCCGGGAGGGGCGGGATGGCGGAGTCTGGTCAGACGGGGTGCTGAACTGTTGACTGGTTACAGAAGTGCTGGGGCGTTGAGGGGCGGGACAGGTGTCGAGATGATGACTGGCCAAGTGGGTGCCGTGGGCGCCAGGTCGAGTGGCTGTCTTCCCATGTCCCAGGATCCCCTGTTCACGTTCAAACCACCAGACAGCAACCCATTGGTCTGCCACCCGTGTCAGGGCTCGTCACAAGGGGCGCTGCCGTCCGTCTCCGGCCAGTGTCGGACCTGTCCATCTCTCCGAGCTGAGTCACCCTGTGGTTCCACCTCGCGTCGTCTGGTAGTCGCACCCAGCCCCACTCCGTCCGCCGGTCCCACCCAGCCCTGCTCGGTCGGCCCGGGCCGGTGGCGGCGCCCCGGTCACGGCTCGGTCACGCCCCGACCGGGCCGGCTGCCGGCTACATCACGTCTCTATGCGGGGGCACGGCCGGCGCACGGCCACGGCGCACGGCCGGCCGCCGGGGCGTGCTCGGCTGCGCCATGGACTCGTTCACCGCCCTCCGAGCTACGTGACCAGTCAACAGGTTCCTGCGCGACGGAAATGGAAGGGCAGCGGCGGCCGTGCAGAATGTAAATCGTATGGAGATGCGCTCCTTGGGACATTCGTAACGGGCCGTGGGCGTACTCGAACGTTCAGTGAACCTGCTTACGCACGGTTCTCGTGAGTGGGGCCCGGGAGGGAGGCCGCCACGACTCCAGGTGACGGCCGCCGCTGTGCAGACGGAGGCTGGCCGTTTGGGCTGTCTGGACTCGGCCTGCCGTCGGGCCGCGGTGACTGGCCGCTGCCGGCCGGGCGGGCGGCTCCGACGGCAGACCGGTCTGGCCGGTCAGCAGCGGCGTCCGAGAGCCGCAGGATCCCCGCGCCAAAGATAGCGCCACTCCAAATAACGGGGGGCGGCCGCCGGCGTCCGGGGAAATTCCGGCTCGGTCTCGGCGCGCGGTACGGACCCGGCGCCGTTCGGACGCCGCTCACCGCGTACCGATAATCCGTCCCGAACGGAGAACTGAGGAGGCCCTAGCTTCTGGTGAAGATGCTGAGCCTCTTCCTTTCCAAGTGCCGTGGCGTTCTTTGGTTAATTCCGAACCCGTGTTCTCCATCAGCCCCCATTACCGGGATATTCCATTCCCAATGCACCGAAGTACGTTTTTCTCCCCTGACGCAGCTCACGGTAGGGGCGTGTGTTTCCGACCCCCGTTTCTCGGAGTGGCTGGGCAGGCGGTCCGGCCGCTGCCACCGCCAGTCACGCGATGCCAGCCAAGATCCGTCCCAGGCTGGTTCGGCCTGACGCCGGCCTTATCCCATGCAACGTCTAGCACGGAGTCGCCTCGGCGTCGCTCGCCAGCGGACCCGGGTACGGAGGCGGTCCTGGCCGGCGTCCTCGGGCGCGCGCCAGCTCAGTCCGGCGTCTGTGTGGGGCGTCCTGCGCGGCGCCGCTCCGCCGGCCGGCCACCTCCGGCGTGCTGGCCGGCCACCTCCGGCGTGCTGGCCGGGCGCGCCGCGGCACCACACGCCCGGCCGGCGCGCCAACTGGCGCTTTTGGCCGGCCAACCAGACCGACCGGTTTGCTGCAAAAATCGCCAGAAATTGCGGTGAATTGAAGGTCTCGCCGCTCGCGACTGGACGCCGCCGCCGACTGGCTTTTTCCTCGTAGAACAGAGGGCAAAGCACGCCGGCCACAGCGGCGGCGGCGCGGAGGCAGGGGCAGAATCGGCGATCGGTGGCGCGCCGATAGGTGCTGCTGCTGGAACACCGTAAGGTGCAGGGTACCGGCCAGGCAGGATCAGGTGCCGTTCTGGGGTGGACGCGGCGACACGCTGTTCGCTGGGGGACGCTATTGGACCGTCGGGCCGCCGCTGTCGCTCCTGCCGCCGCATCGAGCGGGGCTTTCCGTGTGCACGCGGCCCGGGCGCCGCCATGTGACTGGGGTCGGTACTTGGCACTGGACGGCCGAACAACGACTCTGCAAGGCACTAGGGAGACATATCAATACAAAATTTGCAAAATAATATAGGTACTTTTTTCAATGTAGCCTTGCTATGCCACTAAGAGGATCATGTTCCACTGGAGAGGACTTCCACCGGGCCGAGGGATCGCCTGATGTCGCCGTTCTCGACTTTGTCCGCTGCTCGACTGGTGAAGGCTAGGGTGGCCCCCGCGGGCTGGCCGGACGGACCACGGACCGGGACATGCATGGATGCGGCGGTGCCGAGGGTCGCCTGACGTCCGCCACCTGTACCGGCGGCCGCTGAACGGGTCCTCGCTGCGGCGGGGGGGGGACAATGCCACGTGTCAGCGGCCGGGTGCCACGTGTCACGTGAGGGCGGGACCGGCCGCGTGGGGCCGCCGCCCGCCGACACAGCCGGCGTGACGATGCAGACAGACAAAATGGCCGGCATTGTTTTATTGTGCCATTATCAGGAGCCAGGAATGGCACGATCCTAGTTCATAACCAGTTCAATGTTTTGTCGAGCGCTCGATTTGGAACCCTGTTACTCTACGCCCGCTCGCAGTCCTGTCGCCCGCTCGCAGCCTACCCCGAAGCGAGCCTGCTATGTCCGTGTGCCGTCCCGCAGCGGTGCCCGCCCCGCCGCGCCGGTTGCGTGCGTTGCCAATCGGCGCCTTGTGTCCGTGCGGCGGCGCCGTGTTCTCGGAGCTGGCGTCGGCCGCGGCGCCGGGCGGCGCTCTCAGCCGCCGCGGCTGTCCTTGGTGCAGAGATTACTCTCACCAGGGTTTAGCCGACAGAACGGCTGGAATCTGCAGCCATATCCCCGCTCCGTGCGAGAGTTGCTCGGTCATGCAGCCTTTTCATTTGTCTTGAGCCAGCAATTTGGGGTAACCATCTTGTTTCTCAGTTATTTCTTTGTAGCGATACAATGAAAATGTCCATGAGTTGAAGGGAGTGATCATGGGCGCCACGCTGTTTTCACCTCTGAACCAAGGCTGCCGCACGGATATCATGTAATCTGTATGGCATTTCGCTGTAGGGGAGGGTAGGAAGGCGACAGAACAGGAAAACGTGTGTGTCTGTACGTACTGCAGCACGCCGTATGTACGGTACGGCCGGGTACCGCCGGTGAGTGCAGCGGCAGCAGCAGCCGAGTATAGGTAGTCACAGGGTCTGCCCTCCACCAGCGCTCACGGTGACCGCTCTGTTTCCTCAGGAGCTGGAGGAGCAGCTGCAGCGGACGGTGGACGCGCACCAGGAGCAGCTGGCGGCGCTGCAGGACAGCCACCAGCAGCAGCTGCAGCAGCTGCGCCGGCCGCCGGCCGCGGTGAGTGTCGGTGATGTGTTTCTGTGCCGTGTTGCAGTCCCTGAGCGGGGCGGGGACCGGGTGGAGCTGGGTGCGGCCCGCGGCTGTCGGCTGGGTGTGGGCCGGGGGGACGTCCAGCGGACGCTGACCGGACGCGGGGAGCTTGGTACCGCGGCTCGGCGCTGGGACCGCGGCTGCCGCGCCGCCCGGCGGATAAGATAGGCGGCGGCGGCGGCCAGCTGTCGGTTCCCGGCGCTGTCTGCGGGCCGCCTATCGACCGCGCCGGCACACCTGTGCACCTCCACGGTCCGCCCGCATGTCGCCGCGGCCCGCGACAGGCCGTGGGGAGCTGCGCGGCGTCGCGCGGGTCGGCCGGCGCACCGCCGACACACCGCCGCAGCTGCGCGGAACGGGACGGCGGTGGCCCCCACCCGACCCCACCCGACCCCAGTCCCGCAGTCCCGCAGTAATCCGCCACTAATGGGATGTTGACGGCTTATCATACGGGCGGTGAGGGCAGATTAATTAAACGGCGACGGCTCAGGTGTTGGCCGTAATAGGGGTGGGATGCAGAGCGATGACGCCCCGTTTTTATCCGTTTATATCAAATGGCGGGGACCGTTTAGCTGTCTGCATTTTTATCCACGGCAGAGGTCTTTTAGCTGTACTAATGAGGCAGTAAATAGTAAAAGCCTCATTTGTAAATGCTTCGGTGCGGCACAATACACGATAACTGCCTCACAATTGCTCTGCCTGCCCTTGCTCGCTCCTGCCCCAGTTTGCCTTTTAATACATCGGTCCGGGCTGGAGTCTCACCTGTCCCGTGCCGTGTCCCGGCAGGAGGAGAATGGCTCGGACGCTGCGGCTGGCGGCGCGCCGGTGGAGGAGCCGGCCGCCTCCCCGGCGGCCGCGGAGGAGCCCTCGGCGGAGGAGGCGGACCTGCGCCGGCGGCAGCAGCGGCTGCGGACCACGCTCCAGCAGCTCACTGCTGAGCGGGACCGGCTGGCCGCCCGGCTGGAGGAGACTGGCGCGGAGCGGGACCGGCTGACTGCGGACCTCAGCCGGCTGACTGCCGAGAGGGACGCGCTGAGCGCCGAGCAACAGCAGACCCAGACGGAGCGGGAGGAGCTGCGGGCGCAGCTGCAGCAGGCCGCGGAGGAGCTGAACACGCTGAGGGCCGGTCTGACGGAGACCACCGAGGAGAAGGAGGCACTGGTGGCCAGCCTGGAAGAGCTCGACCTACAGAACCAGGCCGCTAACGGTGAGTAGGCGATGGAAATCGATGGATTCCTACAAAGTTATACGTTTCCTCGCGTTAGATTCGGTGCCAGGTTAGTAGGTCCCAGGCCCTGTAGACCCCGATTCCATTTCATACAGACCGCACCATGCAGTGGAAGGGCTCGGTTTATCCCGTGGCATTTCTCGTGAGTCACTCCTAGATGAGCAGCTCCCTCGCTCGCTCGACTGGTGGTTTCCGGTATTGCGTGTTACTGGTTGCCTCGTTCGCGTGCTGTGAGCTGCCCCACACTGCGCTATGAGCCGGTACACCCAGTCTGGCGCCCCGGTGTCGGTTTTCCGCGGAGCGGGGGCGCTCGGCGGCGCTGTGCCGCTCCGCGCCGGCCGTGTATCGCAGCCGATATTGAGCCTGGCTCGGCGCCGGCGGCCGCCGCTGTTTGGACACACCGATACACTATCTGGGCCGCAATAACGGATAACACGGAGCCAGCCGACGCCGCCCCGGATCCAGCGGCTGGCGGCCGGACCTAGCGGGGCTCAGCGGCCGGACTTTGCGGGGCTCAGCGGAGCGCTTTGCTAAACTGATGGCACCTTTCAATATGGGCAAAGTAATGAAATCGGGGAAGATTGGATTCACTAACGGGTCTGTCTTATAAATATGAGAGGATTATAAATTACACACTCTCTTTCCTCCCACCCACGCAGATATAGAAGCCTCTACGCCCCTCTGGTGTAAAAGCTCAATGATCTAAGCATGAATTACGACCCGGCTATTCGTCATTTCGTTTCCTGAGCGGTGTTTGACATTAGCGGGTTTCGTATTTGGCGTTATATTCACATAACCTGTCGGCCGGTCGGGCGGTGCCGCGCTGTGCAGACCGGGGTGTGCGGTGTTCGGTGCCGCGCTGTGCAGAGCTGAGTGGTGCGGTGGTCGGTGGCGCCCCGTGCAGAGTGCGGCGGTGGCTCTGCCGCCGTCCCGGCTGCGCCACGTCACCACCCGCTGACGGCCGGCACCTGTGCCGCCTCCGCCGCCCTGACGGCAGCGCACCTGGTCACACGGCTGACTCACCTTCCTCGCTCCCTCCCTCCCCCTCTCTGCGGTTACAGAGCAGCTGCAGCGGGGCCGCGAAGAGTCCGCCGCCCTCCGGGAGCGGCTGCTGGCTGCTGAGGACGAGGCCCGTCTGCTGACCACGGCCCGGGACGAGCTGCTGGACCGGCTGAAGGCGGGCGCTGATCAGACGGCGGAGCTGACAGCGGACAGAGACCGGCTGCAGAGCTCACTGTCAGAGGCGGAACAGCGGGCGGCGGCGCTGACTGCGGAGAGGGATGAACTACAGACGCGACTGCAGGAGAGCGGCCAGCCACGGGAGGAGGAGAGGAGAGAGGAGGAGGAGAGGAGGGAACGGGAGGAGGAGGAGAGGAGGGCGCGGGAGGTGGCCGAGCTGACGGCCAGCAGGGACCAGCTGCTCGAGAAGCTGCAGAGCCAGCAGCAGCAGGCCGAGACGGCGGAGACGGAGAGGGAGGGGCTGCTGGCGAGACTGCGGGAAAAGGAGCAGGAACTCAGCGTCCTTGACAAGGAACGGGAATCATTACTGGAGAGACTACAAATTCAGGAACAAAACCAGGCCTCCTCAGAGGCGGAAAGAGGCGAAATTTCCGAAAAGTTACGAAATCAAACGGCAGAGCTCTCCGCCCTTAGTTCTGAAAGAGACCAACTGATCGAGAAATTAAGAGAAGCTAAAGAGGAAGTTGATGCTTTGAATGAGAAAATTCAGAAGAAAACTGAAGAGTTTGATGCTTTGATAGCCAGCAGAGACGAACTCTCGGAAAAGCTGCTTCAGAAGGAGGAGGAGACCGCGGCGCTGACGACGGCCCGGGACTCCCTGACGGCCCAGCTGAGTCAGAAGGAGCATGAGACGGCGCTCCTGACGGCGGCCAGGGACGAGCTGACGGAGGATCTCGCTCAGAGGGAGCGGGAGGCGGCCGAGGTATCGGTCTCCGCGGACCAGCTCACCCAGGAGCGGCGGCTGAGGGAGGCCGCTGAGCAGCAGCTGGAGCTGAAACTCCGCGAGCTGGACGGCACGGCGTCAGAGAAGGCGGCGCTGGCCGGCCGGCTGGAGCAGCTGGAGCTGCAGCTGCGCGATGCTGAACAGAGTCTGAGCGCGGCCACCGAACAGCTGCAGGCAGAGAAGGCGCAGGCGGAGGCGCTGCTCAACGAGCAACCGTCCAACCACCAACCAGTCGAAGACGTAACTGTCGTCAAGGCGCACGTCAATTCGGTAGAGGGCGCAATAAAACCCGCACACCAGCCAGACCTGAGTGCCGTTCAGACTCTCGATCAGGCCGAGGATGAAGAGGAACCGACATCACTTGACCACAGTAGTCTGTTGGAGCGTCTCACCAAGCTGATGTCTGACGGTGAGGAGCTGCGAGTCTCCGTCTCCCAGGTCCTCGCCTCTGTCGGTCCCTGCACCCCGCCGCTCGCCTCTGATCTGTCCTCAGACGGCCCCTCCGCCCCAGTCCCCGCGCTGGTCTCCCTCGTCGAGCGGCTGCAGTCTCAGCAGCAGCGGCAGGCGCGGCTGAGCGCGCTGGCCGTGCGCCGCTGCCGGGAGCTCGAGGAGCTCAGTGACACGCTGCAGAGCTCGGTCAGTGAGCTGACGGAGCAGCTGGACGCGCTCGAGTCGGGCGGCGCGCTGCCTCCCTCCCTGACTGAGGAGCACCGGCAGACCGGGCTGCGGCTGCTCGAGCTGGCCACGCTCTTCAACTCGGAGGACATTTTCGCGTCCAACTCGTGCACGGCCTCGCTGCTGGACTGGCTGGAGGCGGCCATCAAGGAGGTGCAGTGGCGCGCACAGGAGGCCGGCCGGCAGCTGGAGCAGGAGCGCGCCGAGCGGCTGGCGGCGCAGGAGCGGCTCCAGGAGCTGGAGCAGGAGCGGCTGCTCGGCTCCACCGAGAAGCTGGAGACCATCTCGGAGGACGCCGAGCGGGTGGCCGAGCTGGAGGCGGAGGTGGCGCGACTGCGGCAGCTGGCGCACCTGGAGGAGGCAGAGGACTGCGACCGGCTGGAGAGCGGACAGCTGGAGAGAGGACTGGAGGCCGTCCAGCTGGCGAGAGGAGGGGAGGGCGGGCCGGTGCAGAGCGGACTGGAGGAGCAGATGGCGCGGCTGGCGGCGGAGCGACAGCGGGACGAGGCACTGAGCAGCCTCCAGCAGCTGCAGCAGCTACTGGACGCCAGGGAGGAGGGCCGAGAGCGGGAGGAGCAGCTGCGCTACGAGCAGGCCGAGCTGGCGGCGCGCTGTCAGACCCAGGACACGGAGCTGGCGGAGCTGAGAGCTGAGCTGGCCGCCCAGCGCGCCGCGGCCAGCCAGCTGACCGACGAGGCAGTGGAGCTCTCCAGGATGATACAGGAGGTAGAGGCGCTGAAACTGGACAACCAGGGTCTGCTTGAGAAACTGACTGCGGCAGAGGAGGAAAAGAACACCATTCAACAGCAGCGTGACACCGTCCAGTCTGAAAATGACCGGCTAAACACCATGCTGAAAGAGCTAGACGAGGTGAAACTGGCAAATGAAAATCTGCTTACAACGGTAAGCAATATCGAAGCTGAAAAGAAAGAAATCAAAGAGGAGCACAACATCGTTTTATCGGAGAAAGACAAACTGAATTTGGCCATCCAGGAGGCGGACAGGGAAAAGGAAAAACTTAGAACAGAACTAGCGGAAGAAAGAGAGAAACTTAGCTTGGCCATCGAAAAATCTGACGGAGAAGCGGAGAGTCTTCGAACGCAGCTCGCGCAGGAAAACGATCGTCTTAATTTGTTGGTTCAAAAGTTCACTGAGGACCAGGAAAAGCTAAGCGTGCAGTTAGCTGAAGAAAAGGGGACTGTGACCTCACTGATTCAGCAGTTTGACGAGGAACGGAGGAAGCTGCAGGCCCAGCTGCGGGAGGAGTCGGAGCGGCTGGGCGCGCTGGTGCACAGCTCCGGCGAGGAGCGGGACCTGCTGCGGGCGCAGCTGGCAGAAAAGTCGGGCAGCTCCGGGGAGCTGGTGCGCGCGCTGGAGCGCTGCCAGCGGCTCGAGGTGGAGCTGGACCCCTGGCGGCGGCTCTCCTCCATCATAGAGTCCTCGGCAGGGAGTGCCGCGCAGAGTGGCGGCCACTCCGAGTCGACGGAGGAGCGGTCCGGAGAGCCGGCCGACGGACCGGCCGAGTCCCAGTCCCAGCCGTCCGACCCGGCCTCCGCCCCGTCAGAGTCGCCCTCGCAGCCCGCGGACCCGGCGGCGGCCATCGAGGCGGCCGCGGCGGCGCTCAGCCGTCTGACGGAGCTGGCAGAGCTGGGCCGCCGGCTGTCCGCCGAGCGGGACGTCTGGGCCGGCGAGCGCCAACAGCTGATCGCCGCGCTCAACCAGAAACACTCTGAGAGCGTGCAGTACCACGCCGAGATCCAGCGGCTGTCGGCGGCCGGCGGCCAGCAGGCCGAGCAGCTGCAGCTGACGGCTGCGCAGCTGGCGCAGACGCGGCGCGCCCGGGACGAGGCGCTGGCGCAGTGCTCTCAGCTGCGCGCCAGCCAGGACCAGCTGCTGGTGACGCTCCAGGAGCGCAACCAGACCGTGCACGACCTGCAGAACAAGGTGAGGACCGGTGGGGGCTGCTGGTGAAATATCCATTTCCTCTCCTGGTCGCCAGTCTTCACTCCCTGGTGAAATGAAATGTCAGATTGACGAATCACCAAGAAAGTTTGGCTATTATCGTTTGGTGCCTTCCTTCACTGTTATGCTGTTAAGTCAATATTCTGGCATTCAATCAGTTCCTCTGTACTGACTAGTGCTGGCTATACAGGTTACTGTATGCTCAACTGAGCCGCTACACGCGGCAGTGCTGGTGTCGCTGTCAGTGACCGTACCGTGTATAACCCCCGCCGTCTGTACCCTGTAGCACGCGGCAGTGTGAGTGTCGCTGTCAGTGACTGTACCGTGTCTAACCCCCGCCATCTGTACCCTCAGTCCGACCAGCTGGAGGAGGCTGAGCGGCGGCTGCAGACCGAACTCCGCCGGCTCCGCGAGCATCTAGTCACCATCGAGGACAACTACACACAGGAGGCGGTGCACGCCGAACAGCGCGAGGCGGCGCTGCGGGAACGGATCACCTCCGAGCAGCACCTCACAGCAGAGAGGTGGGGACCTTTGTGAATATCTACTCATAACTTATGTAGTTTTCCACACAGCCATCGTCATTCTCTTTATAGCATTTCCGAGTATGAGTAGTGTCAACAAATCGCTGATAATTATGCCGCCTTCCCTCTCCGCAGTGAGGCGGCCTCTCAGACCATCGAGTCCCTCCAGGAGCAGCTGATGACCGTCTCACAGCAGCGCGATGACGTCACACTGCAGCTGGATGACGTCACCCAGTCGCTGAACAACCTGCAGCGCGTGCTCGAACAGTTCCAGCGAGAGAAACGGCGAGAGGTGGAGCTGGCCACCAGCGCCGCCAAGCGGCAGACCAAAGAACTAGAGGAGCAGGTTGCAACTCTCAAGGTAGGTATATATATTTAAGTGTGTGTAACTTTTTTAAATTATAAATTTTTATAATTATATTTTTTTAATTTAACATTTATCAATGAGAAGAATAGATGGATGATTGCGACAAATGATTTCCTAGGCATCGCACTACGCGTTATTTTCTCCCGGCTCGTTCTCACTGGTCCAATATATGCCCGTTTCGGACTTGCGCTCGTATTCCCCCTGTGTTCACGGCCCTCCGTCTCCCTCTCCCCTGTAGACCCAGCTGTCGGAGGCCAGTGCCGGTCTGAAGGCGGCCAACCGGCTCAACGAGCAGCTGGACCGCAAGGAGCAGCTGATCCTGGCGCTCAAGTCGGACGGTAGGTACCGGTCTCAGGTCCTCGGTGGGACTCTGGCCCCAGCCTGCGGGCCTGCGGATCTCGGACTGACCCCTGTGACGGGGACTCAGTGGGGTCGTGTGAGTGCGTGTGGTGGTTTTCGCTTGCGGTCCGAGCTCGCCGGGACTACTTCGGGACGTCTCCGCCAGAGGCGCTGCTGCTGCTGCCGCCGGCTGGGCGCGCACAAATATCAGCAGGTAATTCTGGGCTGCGTTCACTGTGCCCAGGAGCCTGACTGGTATGTGTGTGACCTGAGCCGGGTGCCGGCATGGCCTGCTCCGCCGCCGCCGCCGCCGCCCCCGGAGCCCGCCCGTCTGCCTGCCTGCCTGCTGGACCCTCTGCTGGCGGACCGGACCCGCCGCGCTCTGTCCCCGGCTGGCTGACGCGGGGGTCACTCGGGGCTGCGCCAACCAACCGACAGGGCGGGACGCTTGGTTGCGCACGACGGGTACATCTCTTTACTTTTGATTACAGCATTTGGTTGAGTTGAACGTGGCGCCTTTGGCTGTCCGGTCCTGCTTTTTCCTCCTTGTTCCTCGCTTATTTCCCGAACGGCTTGTAATCCAAACGCTATGCTTCCTGCCGTGTTTGGCACGTTTCGGGAAGTTCCTGGCGCCGGTTTTTCTCCTTGGCCCCGGGTGTGTGGCTGTGTGTTGTCCCCCCCCCCTCCCGCTAGGCTTCGGTGCATGTCTGCATGTTTTGACGCGACCTGGCATGTCCGGTATTCTGTGGCTTTGCATGTTGCCTGCATTGTGCGATGTTGGACTCTGAAGGTCAGTTGGGGCGAGCAAAATCATCTCCGGCGCGAAACATGCCGAGCAGCATTCTTTAGTTGTTTCTTTCGTGATCGTATTAGTTACAACGCTTTCTAGAAAACTAAAGTTAACTCAAAGCTCAAACGATTTGTAAGCTTTCTTTAACTCTTCTTACGAACAAAATTACAGTACTGGATACTTTGCCGATATTGATGCCCAATAATATTCAATGTTGTTTATCCAATGCATGTTCCTGAAGTCAGGATTCAGGCGGCTCTGCCCGTGTACTATATGACGTCCAGCACGCCGCCAGCTGTGTCTGTTGTGCCGTGTTCACGGCCCGGAGTCCTGTACAGTATGTGTCCGTGTCTGCCGGCCGCCGCCTCTGCACCGCGTCTCCGTCCGCCGGCGCTCGGTGCGCTCGGTCCGCCTGTACCGTCAGCGCAGCGCGGTGCCGGCGCGGTGCTAATCTCACATGGTAACGCTGAGTGAGGCTCGCTCTCGGCGTGCTCTGTGAGGTGAGCCCGCGCCGGCCGCTCTCACCCCAGCGCGCACCCGCCCGCCGCTCTCACCCGCCCTGCTCACCCGTCTCTGTCTGTCTGTCTGTCTGTCTGTCCGTCCCGCCTCCGCCCGTCCGCCCGCACCGCTCACCCGTCTGTGTAGCTCGGCCCGTCTGTCTGTAAATAACAGCCCGCCGGTGACTGAGGCGGGGCTCCATCCGCCGCGCACCGCCCGCCGCCGGTCCAGTAGCACGGCCGTCCCTCCGCTATCAGTCGCTTCGTTCGTGTCTACCCGGCTCGGCTGGTTGGGGCTCGCTGTAGAAACCTCTGTGGAAATGTTGTTGGTCAGGGGCGTGGTTTTGATCCACTAAGGATGAGGAATAGACATCTGCTAATGTATTTCACCCTTAAATGAAGGCGATTATGCCGCTAGGGCACTGGGTATTTTAGCACACCCAAAGCTGTGAAAGAATGCACTAAGCTTTGAAAGAATGCACACCGGCATTTCCGCCTGAGTCAACGCTGTTATGACGCAGAATGGTGTATCTGTAATGCACGAACGTAGTTAAAAGCATTTGATCCCTGCAACCGGTATTGTTTTGTTTACTGCTGATTGTGTTTTGTTTCCGTTCTCCGTCATATAGCATTGTTAAACACGGTTATAGTGCACATGCGTCTTTGGAAATCGTCATTGTTTCGCACATTTTATGTTGTTGTTTATGCGGATTATGCCTCAGTTGCAATTAATATCGCAAATCTTGTGTATTCTGTGCTCATTTACCAGCGCTGCATGGTGCAAAGTTTTCCGTCTGTACTTGGAATGACCATATATAGTTTTGTTTTCTTAGTTTGAACGTCATTACTGATGTCAACAGTAGCCCTTTCGTTTTCATTTATTTCGTCTGGCAGTGACTGCGCAGAGGTAGCGATGAGGCGCACCTAGGCCTGCCGCATGTCCCCCAACCGCCTCGAATGTGGTGCACCTCCCCATGTAGGGGAGGGTGGCCAGACTGACCTCCAGATGCAGTCCACCGCGCATGCGCGCCCCGCCGAGCCGCCCCGGGCAGATCTGAGTATTACTTCAGGTACTGGATGGTTGGATCTCAGTGTCGAAGCAATGCTCGGACTCTGTCTGGGGCCCCGCACCAGCCGCCGCATGCCACGAGACTCTGCTGAGCGCCCCACGGCGGCACCTTCACAGCGGGACACCGTCCGCGCCGCGCCCGCTGCGTTAGCGCGCATGGTATCGAATTTTATTTCAGTCATCTGCTATTTTGTATTGGTTTGATGAGTTGTTACCAGTAATATTGCATGACTATACGCGTTGCTGAAGTTACGGAGTTGCTAGCAGCGTTGACGTCACCTGCTACTTATTTCTGATTAGTTTGTGCATTATTTATTATGATTATATGCATTGTGACTTGTTTTACCCGTTGATGTTGCCTCTTTCGCCCGTTAATGTTGCTTGTTTAACCGCGAGTGATGTCAATGCTGAATCGCATGCATAAATTTCGCTCTGGCTGAAGATACAATGTAACATTTTTGGCCCGCTCCATTGGCTTTTACGGAGTAGGTATTGGTACTGAATGGCTGCCTGCGAAACCGCTTTGATGAGTTTGTCATTACATTAAGTTGTCAGTCAGTTTGTATAAACTGAACATTTTTCGTCTTGTACTGCTGGTTAAAATGCCAGCCTCCTCGACTAAGCAGTATGGCCCTAACTGAATCTGATCGAGCCGCTGACTATGACCTGTACCGGGACGTGTATCTACTGCCCGCTGGCCGCCCCAGACCCACTGACAGTCCCCGCCGCCGTCCGGTGGCCGTGCCCCTCCGTCTACAGTCGAGGCCAAGGTGGACGCCAACATCCGACTGCAGACCGAGCTGGACGAGCTCAAAGGCAACACCTCCGGCAAGGTGGACAAGTAAGGACCCGACCTGATTCTCACACTAACTCATCAGTCAGTCTCACACTCCGGACCTGACCTGAGCAGACTCTCACACTCATACAGTGGCGTCTGCTGGTGCAGCCGACCGGGCGGGAGACATTAGCCAGTCGGGCCGGCGGCCGTTACTCGAGAATATCTGCAGAAACAGTGACAAGGCCGTGTTGCGTGATAATCACGATATCCGCGTTCTTAACGTTCTCTGTATGATAAGACGTAACTGGATCGTATTTATCAGATGGCTCGAACCCGTTACTGATGTTAACGTTAATGACATGGTAAGACTAAATCTGCTCATATCTCACATCGGGGTTATGTAAGACCCGGGGTCGTGGGGTTTTGCCAGCGCTGACTCCGCTCGTTCCGCCCGCAGGACGCTGGTGAAGAACCTGGTGGTCGGGTACGTCTCGGCGCCGGCCGGCCACGAGCGCGAGGTGCTCAGGGTGATCGCCACCGTCCTCGACTTCTCCGGCGAGGAGCGGGCGCGCGCGCGGCTGGACCCGGCGCCGGCCGCGCCCGCACCGCCCGGCGGCTCGCTCACTCAGGCGTTCGTGCGCTTCCTGGAGGCGGAGTCGACGCCGCGCAAGCCGGCCGTGCTTCCCGCCGAGCAGATGGCGCGAGACGCGGCGCGCCGGACCGAGGCGCGCGCCCACCGGGCCGCCACACAGGTCAGCACCGCCGTTTGTTCAGAGGAGGCTCCCAGAGTGGTTCACCGGGCTTCATTTATGGTATTTGCCGATTTAAATTCATAATTTTACTGAGAAGAGCTGTGTGGAATTAAATTTTTCTTTATTGTCAATTTCGATAATGTTATTGAGGTTTGCATTTAACAGTACAAGACTGACCAGTTAACGTCAACGTTCGTCGGTGCCCAAGTATGACGCCCGGAGTCTAACTGCCTGTGCCCCTCCCCCGCCGTCCAGCCCCGCTGACTCCCCCCGTCTGCCCACAGGGCCCGCCTCTGCCGCGGAGCACGCCACCTCCGGCTCAGCCGAGCCACTCCCGGCAGAGCTCCACGTCGTCCAACTTGCTGCTGTCGTTCTCTGACCAGCCGCCGGCGGAGGTGGCCGAGCCCAGCAGCGCAGTCCTCCGCGCCATTATCGGTGACGGCGCCGACGGCGGGGACGGCGCGCCACAGACGGACGCGGCGCACAGCTGAGCGCCGCGCCGCGCCGGTATCGCCGCGCCCCCGCCGCTCGGCCGCGCGGCCCGCTTATAAAGACTGTTATCTTATTGTCTCTAGTGTGCATACGAGAAATATAGTTGTGCTGGTGCTTGATTGACATTGACGAGGCCCCGAGTGTTCGACATGGTATATGGGCTGCCCACGAGTTGTGATTGTGACAGATATCGTTCTATTTTATATGGATGTTGCGGCCAAATATAATTGGTGAATAAATGATTATATGCATTCCATCACTGGTCTGTGGATTTGAATAATCGCGAGCGACTGGGGTACGGGAGCAACATGACACAATCACACTGCGCCTGAATGTATAAAAACACCCAGGGAGGATTTGAATAGCATGGGGAGGGGGGAACGAGGAATAAAAACATGGGAAGTATGTTTATGCTCGTAAATCGGATGGAGCGGGATAGCAGATGACTTCTTTGGGATTGTGGTGACTGGTGACAGCTGCACTGCCCGACCGGTGACCGGTGACCCGTCAACAGGGGTCAGGTCAGAGGCTTACGTTGGTCAGATGGTTCTCCAGGCATTGTCGGCCCCATCGGTGAACTGTCACCGAAAGTCAGGCCAGGTCTAGTCTCTAACATTGACCTCCCAAGGCATGGTCCATGGTCCATCCGGTGACCCGCCGCCAGAGGTCGGGTCAGGGGCCTGCAGGGATCAGAGCTCTCCGGGTGTGACCTGTCCCATCCGGTGACCCATCACCCGAGGTCAGGTCAGGGCTGTGTCAGTGGAGACACCGGGCGCTGTCTGTCCCGTGGGTTACTGGGTAGCGCGGCACGGCCACAACTTCCACGGGCTGTAACGACGCTGGTGTCGCCCGCACTGATACAGCTGCCGAGCAGAGGGTGATAACGGAGGTGGGAGCCGTCACAGCTAGCACACATCACCGCTGTGCCACACGTCTCTTCGTTCAGTAACAACAGAAGATCCCGCGTCGACCAGGACACCGGTCCGTTCGCCTCGGTAACCGATTGGTTCATCAGACAGACAGTCAGTCGTACCCCGCCCGACAATAATAGCTAGAACGGCTTGCGTAAATGTTATGCAGAACGACCTCAGGCTCAAAGTTCTCTCAACTCAACTCAAAGTTTCAGAGCGGCATATGAACTTACAAACCGGCTAACTGGACCGATAACATAACAAGATATCTCGTACCCTCACTAAGTTCCCACCGTTGATAGCAAGCCTCCGGCTATTTGCTAAGCTATTCGCTAATCAGTCAGAACCGGTCTTAAGCGGTTAATGTGAGCCTACCCTCTCCAATGCGGACTCACAGGCGCCTCGCGGGAGATATTACAGCGTCATCTCAGTCACATCCGTAAACAGACACTTGTTCCTCGGTTATTTACATGATCCCTACATAAGAAAGGTCCGTGAACACGGATACGATGTACCGCCTCCGGGACAGGTCAGTCTGTGCCCCTCCCCCTCCCCTCCCCCCCAGACCTCAGTGAGTCAGCCGTGACCAGTGCCGGTACGTGTCAGCTGCCGCCGGCCTCTCAGTGACCTTTTGTGTCAGTGTCACCGGGCTGACACCACCGGGCGGTGACACGCGCAGAGAGTGACAGATCCAGTGACAGGTGAATAGGTGCTCGGAGGAACTGAATAGGTGCTGACGCCGGGTCCCTGCGAGCCGGATACACCGCCGGCAGTGACACAAAACACACGTACCGCACACAGCACACACGCGCGCGGGGTGAGATCTGGCGGCCGATCGCGGCGGAATCCGCCGTCCGCTCCGCGCGGAGGCCACGTCTAACGGACGTGCCGCAGAGCAGGTCGAACGGAAGGTCGAACGCGGGGCCGGGTAGACGTGCCGCTCAAAGGGTGTCCGTCAGTCAGACGTCAGAGGCACACAAACATCACTCACTGGGACACGGTCTCTTTCGCCTCCACCCGTCAAAATACGCACCTGTTTACATCCTGCTGCAAATGAGGAAAATATGTTGTTGCACAATTGAGTTGAATATACCGGTTTTTATTATGATACAGTACAATGACAGTTGGCCAACATTCCTACAACAAAAATAATTTAAGAGGTCTTGGTCACACAGGATGTCAACATGAGGGTTCGAGACCAGTGATTGGAATAAAATTACACCATGGGATACCACATCACTGCACCCCCCCCCCCCCCATACACACACAAACAAAATGACGGCAACACCCACAGTCCCACACACAAACCAATAAAGCACCCATCACTCACAGACGAGGCTGTAACAATATCAACAAGGAGCCACTCGGCACGCGGGGTTCATGATAACCATATACTCACACTGCGAGCCATCACCCCGGCGTGGTATTGCCCGAATCTCTGGCAATCGATGGACAATAAAATTCAGTGACCGGGCCCCGACCCCAGACAAAATCACTCGTGATAGCACACCTCCCCTCGACTATGAGGTCGACAGGTGCGAGGATCAGGACTCAGGGGTCACACAGAGTCAGAGCGCCAGCCACGGTAGATACGGCTAACTGGAGCCACTACCAGTCTGGGAACAGGTAGATCTTCCCGCCGCTGGCAGTCTCGGAGGCAGAGGTCGACGGACTGAGACTGCCCGCCGTCCTGCCGGGCAGACCGAGCCAGACTAGATCAGCTCCAACTGAGGCCGGAGTTCCACCGTCGTAAAGTTCAGCTATAATTCAGAAGTCATTGCCGCCACACGATCCGTCAGCCACCTCAGCTGAGCTCACTGCCCCACACTGCACGCTGTGACGTCCGTCAGTCTGGAGCCGAGTCGTCCCATCCCGTGTAGTTTGGAGCCAGCCTGATCCTATCTCGCTGTCCGAGTGCTACCAACTCATTATAGGCGGCTGTTGGCCGACCCCGACCGGATCTCTGTCTCTCGACTCGGGGCTTCAATCACCTAGATATCACTCGGTCCCCCGATATCACTCGTCTATGAGTCCGCCGCCACTACTCGTCTATGAGTCCGCCGCCACTACTCGTCTATGAGTCCGCCGCCACTACTCGTCTATGAGCCCGTTGTCGTCGGCCTGCTCCACCAGCCGGCAGACGATGGGCGACTCCACGCCCAGGATGTACTGGCACGGCCGCGGCTCCAGCAGGTACAGCGACACAGCGTTCGGCGACTCGGACTGCTTACACTTGAGCTTCACCTCGACCGAGCGCGGCGCCGAGATCTCGTCACACATGGACCCGCCCGAGTAGAAGTGGGAAACGTGTCGCCGTCCGGCCGCCGGCCGCGGACGTTTCTGCGGGTTGTGCGTCAGCCACTCGCGGTGCACGTCACGGCTGAAGAAGCCCAGGTGGATGACCGTTCGCGTGCCGTCTCGGTTCACGTGGTACTGGTCGACCCGTTTGCCGTGGCAGAACTCGTAGCGCCACCAGCCGGTGCCCTGAAGGACGGGAGGAGGTTAGAGGGTGGAGAGAGAGAGAGAGACAGAGAGAGAGAGAGAGAGAGAGAGAGAGAGAGAGAGAGAGAGAGAGAGAGAGAGAGAGAGAGAGAGAGAGAGACCTGTCGCTCTCCCACATTATACTGAGTCCATTCAGAAAAAAAGTTAAAACACTTCCCTCCTTAACCACACAGTGGTCTGTCGCTCTCCTACCCCCCCCCCCCCACACACACATCCTCCTCACCCCATTAATACAGTGATCCGCCCTATCTCTCCCCTCTCACTCACCCCGTTAATACAGTGATCCGCCCTATCACTCCCCTCTCACTCACGCCATTAATACAGTGATCCGCCCTATCTCTCCCCTCCCACTCACCCCGTTGAGGCAGTGCCGGCCGGCCAGGAAGTCCTCGACCAGTTTCTCGTCGTAGACGGCCAGCGGCCGGGCGGTGGTGATTGGCGGCGGCTCGGCGTCCGCCGGCGTCGTGTCCGGGTCGGGCCCGTCCTCGGCGGGGGCGGCGGCGGCGGCGGGGGCGGCGGCGGGGGCGGCGGCCGGCGCGCCGTCCACCGGCCGCAGACCGTGCCGCAGCGCCAGACTCTGCGCCTCCAGCTCCAGCAGCGAGCGCGGCCGCTTGGGCGAGTTGGACAGGGCGATACAGTGGATGAGGTGCTCCACGTCCGCCGTCACCCTGCGAGCACAAGACGACCGTGAGAGGTGTGGAAGTGGCTGGGCGGTAAAAGCAGCATGTGTCTCCCATCCGCATTTGCGGAGAAAGGTGGTCCACTAGTGACCTCTAGCGACGTGAACGGACACTACAACCGTAGCACGACTTCAGTACGAATACAGATTAAAATAGAATGAGGCATTGCACTAGCACTGCAGAGAGCACGGTAAAGCTCAAAGCTACAAATTAGGCGAGCCATCGCCTATCAGTCTTCCTTGTAGTCTCTGTGAATCTATGACTCTTTGTAACTCTGTGACTCTGTAAGACTCTCGGTATGCTCACCTGTAGTCTGGGTGGGCGCAGAGCAGCGGTGACAGCACCACGATGACGTACTGGCAGGACGAGGTCTCCTGGAAGGAGACCACCTCGTGCCGGCCGGCCGCGTGGCAGACGTACCGCACCAGCGTCTGGCGCGGGCGGCCCGTCAGGTCGCACACCGTGCCGCCGCTGTATGTTACCTGGCCGGGTCAGGGGTCACAGGTCAGGTCACAGGTCACACGGTGCCGCCGCTGTATGTCACCTGGCGGGGTAAGGTCAGAGGGCATGTCAAAGGTCAGGTCACAGGTCACACGGTGCCGCCGCTGCAGGTCACCTGGTGGGGTCAGGTCACAAGTCAGAGGTCAGTTCACACACCATGCCGTCGCTGTATGTTACTTGGTGGGGTCAGAGGTAAGGTCACAGGTCAAACCGTGCCGCCGCTGTCACCTGGTGGGGACAGCGTTCAGGTCAGGTCAGATGTCAGAGGTCAGGCCACACACGATGCCGCCGCTGCACGTCACCTGGTGGGGTCAGCGGTGACAGGTCAGGTCAGAGGTCAGGTTACATGTCACACACCGTACCGTCGCTGCACGTCAAGTCAAGGGGACGTTGACTCGTCCAGCTCACCTCCAGGTAGGGGAGGTCGATCTCCTCCAGCCTTAACGTCCTGGGTCGCCGAGAGGCCGGGTCACTCTTCAGGGCGGCGTCCCACTCCTCCACTGTCGGCGGGGCAACAAAGGAATGTCAGATACCAGTCAGATTATGGAAATGGAACGGTCAGAAGTAAACGAGACGACGAGTAACTAAGTAGCGAGTTTCACGATAGATGGACAAACGAAAAGACGGACGAACGAACGAACGAACGAACGAACGAACGAACGAACGAACGAACGAACGAATGAATAAATGAATGAATGAATGAATGAATGAATGAATGAATGAATGAATGAATGAAGAAAAGAAAAGAATGCAAAAAAAACGAACGAACTAACGAATGAACGAACGATAGACCGACCAACTGACCGACCGACTAATCAACCAAACAAACGAACGAACGAACGAACGAACGAACGAACGAACGAACGAACAAGTTCAAGACACAAGACCACATGGATTGCCTATCGAGTATTTCCATCAACCGTCGTTGGCAGGTAACTATTACGTTTGCGCGAATAAAGTGTACCTCATCGAAAGAAACGACCGGTTAATATAATTCATCCCAACACGTGAGCCCGTACAGCTAGGTGATTACCCTCTGTTTGCAGCGTCTCCTTGCTGTATCTGCCCAGGTAGTACTCGATCAGTTTGGTCTGCTTGCCCTCCTTGGTCTCGTGGTACTGGCGCACGTAGTCGCCGTGGCACACCTCGTACGTCCAGTACGACTCCAGCTGGCGGCGGATAGGGCAGGGCGGGGAGGTCAGCGTCGGGTGGGCGTCGAAACGGGGCAATAAGACGCTGGGACTGAATAAGACGGGCGTCTCTAACCTAGAAATACTTCGAGACTAAGGTCCAGCCCAACAGAACCTGCATAACATCCAGTGGACCAGTATCTCCTCGTCACAAAAATACATCGTAACCGTAACCGTACACTTACTTCCATGCCACAGTAAATCCTCCACTGTAACTGCCTTTGTCGCGGTTGGCTGGGTAAAGAAGGGCCGAGCGCCGGGTAAAATGGGGACAATGCGAGCAGCAGAACTCACCCTGTATGAGCAGGCCAGCTTGTTGAACAGAGGCTCCATCAGCTGCAGAGGGTTGGGACCGTCGTACGACGCGTCCTCCTCCTGAGGGAAACAAGAACTGAATGTAATACAGTCATCAAATCAAGGCCCTGTTGGCCACATGGTGAGATCACCAATGACATCAATGATAGATAATGGCCCACACTGGCATCAGCAGATGCAAAATACACAATGAAACTCATTTATGCACAACACAAATTAAGCTACCTTCATTTATCATGCTAGCTAGTCACAAACAGTGGCCTATGACTTATGAAACATGAGTGCATGAACACCAATGTAGCGAGACTGAGAACTAAATGTATCCGAAGGTTGGGACTTTTCAATTAAGAACAATCACTATTCTTTAGAATTGTGATTTTCTATTGAAAATCCCAACCTGAGCTACCTCTCTAGGGGGGTGTTTAGCGTTTCTGCCGCGATTTAGGACATCTTGATACCCTCGAAAACGGCTCGTTAGATTTTCTTGCCATTTTCAGCGTTTGGTCCCCTATGGGGGAGCTACCGGCTGGTACCGGTTGCTTGAAATATAATTAACCCGTTTTGGGGTAATCGGCACGTGCATTTTCCCATAGGGTTAACATGGGGAAAAATTGAAAATGCGATTTGCGCAAAATCTGTTCAGTAATATTTGTCCACATTTTTAGGGTCAGTTCTTGGGCTGGCACCTCACCTTCTGGGGGTAATTATTTAAAATATAAATGACAAAATTTCGGGTAATCGACGCCGACAGTTACCCCATGTTGAGCCTATGGCAATTTCGAAAAATTATTTTCAAATCGATTTTGCAAAAAATTTCCACGTTAGATTTTGAAAATGTTCCAATATGTTGTGCCCCGGGGTGTCGGCTACCACATGGTATGGGTCAGATATGGGGCGATTGAAAAGCACGTGCCACGTGCAAACGTGTTTGATGGGGTAACCTCGTGGAAAATCCGACATTGGCCTACTCGGGGTTCTATGGCGCGGAAACGACTTCAGCTAGCGACACCAAATCAGTGCAGCCGGTGACCGGATGAGTCCAGCTTGTCGCACTAGTGGTCACGTGGCGCACGTGCTATTGCACGTGCCGTGGCACGGGGTTAATTTTTGTGCTTAAATACACCAACATTGTGAAGTGCAAGGAATGGGGGAAATAGCCGTCAGGTTGTCAGTTTTTAGGATAGGGTCGATCTGAAAACGGGTATAGACACAGAATGAAGGGGGCTACAAAACTGCTATCTCGGATTTTTTGTAAAATGAAAAATTTAAAATTCTAGGGAAATTATATATTCGAACGGTGAAATTTCCCTAAATTTTCCCGTTTTTTAAGCTTAGCCGTCCACTGTTCAGTGACGGTGACACCGGCCGGGGTCATCTTTTACATGCTGACGGCTACGTCGATGGGTCATTACGTGGCGTAAACGGTGAAGCTGTCACAGGTCCGGCACGTGCCACGTGGCCACGTGTTTGAGTCAAGTACCTCCCAGATTATCGTGTGTTTGCCGGCATGTGGCCTTATAGCACGAAAACAGCACCAGTCAGGAAGCCTGAAATGAAACAATCGGTAAGGGGACAAGCCCTGCTTGCACCACCGGTGGTCACGTGGCACACGTGCAATTCTGGGCACCTCCGTTGCGGAGATATTTTATAGTGAAATATTCAAATGTACATAACTTTGTAAGTTTAAGTCCGATTGGGCTAGAATTTGGTGGGTGGATGAATTGTTAAGCGACATGAACGAATGCGCCATGTTTGTTGCAGTGCGCCACGTTTGTCTCAAAGCGCCATTTTTGCCGCAAAGCGCAGAATGTGCGTAACTTTGTCGAACATTGGACGATTAGGATGCGCTGTAATTAAGGAATGGCTGCTTAAACGGCAGATATGAATGCACCACATTTGCCGCAGGGCGCCATATTTGTCTTATTGCGTCAGTGTTTGCGTTTTGCCTACGGTGGGCGTTTTTTGCGGCGGTGTTTGCGTTTCTTCGGTGTTTGCGTTTGACGGCGGGCGGCCGCAGCGTTTTTGGCGGTGTTTGCGTTTAGCGGCGGGCGGCCGTTTTTTTGCGGCGTTTTGCGATTGGCGGCGGGCGTGCGGGCGTTGCGGGCGTTTTTTTGCGGCGGTGTTTGCGTTTTTTGCGGTTTTTGTGTTTGGCGGCGGGCGGGCGGGCGATGCGGGTGTTTTTGCGGTGTTTGCGTTTGGCGGCGGACGGCCGTTTTAGCGGCGGTTTGCGGTGGGCGGCCGTTTTTGCGGCGTTTTGCGTTTTGCGGCGGGCGGCCGTTTTTGCGGCGTTTTGCGGTTTGCGGCGGGCGGCCGTTTTTTGCGGCGTTTTTTTGTGGTTTGCGGCGGGCGGCCGTTTTTTGCGGGGTTTTGCGGTTGCCGGCGGCCGGGCGTTATTTGCGTTGTTGCGGTTTGCGGCGGGCGGCCGTTTTTTTTGCGGCGTTTCGCCGTTTGCGGCGGGCGATGCGGGCGTTTTCGTGGCGGCGGTGTTTGCGTTGTTTGCGTTTTGCGGCGGACGGGCGTTTTTGAGGCGTTTTTGCGTTTTTCTGCGTTTTTCGGCGGGCGGGCGATTCTTTTTTGCGAAGTTTGCGTTTGCGTTTTGGGCGTGCGTTTTGCTGTGTTCGCGTTTGAAGGCGGGCGGGCGGTTTTTCACAATTAAAGTCCCAACCTTCGGATCCGCAGAGCTGTTCGACAAGCGCTGCCCGGGTAGTATCCGAAGGTTGGGACTTTTCAATTAGAAACAATCACTATTCTTTAGAATTGTGATTTTCTATTGAAAATCCCAACCTGAGCTACCTCTCTAGGGGGACATTTGCGTTTCTGTCGGAAATTGGGTCATTTTGATCGCCGCCGAAACGGCACGGTAGAATTTGTTGCCATTTTCAGCGTTTGGTCCCGTATCGGGGAGCTACCTTCTGGCAAAGTTGCAAAAAATATAATTGACACGTTTTGGGGTAATCGGCACGTGCATTTTCCCATAGGGTTAACATGGGGGAAAATTTAAAATTCGATTTGCGCAAAAACTCCACGTTAGAAATGAATTATATTTTTAGGGTCGAATCTCGGGCCGGGACCCCACCTCATGGTGGTAATTATTTAAAATATAAATGACAAAAATTCGGGTAATCGTTAAGGACATTTACCCCATGCTGAGCCTATGGCGATTTCGAAAAATTATTTTCAAATCGATTTTGCCAAAAATTTCCACGTTAGATTTTGAAAAAGTTTCAATATGTTGTGCAGCGGGGTGTCGGCTACCACATGGTATGGGTCAGATATGGGGCAATTGAAAAGCACGTGCCACGTGCAAACGTGTTTGATGGGGTAACCTCCGGGAAAATCCGACATTGGCCAACTGGGGGTCCTATGGCGTGGAAACCACTCCACCTAGCGACACCAAATCAACGCAGCCGGTGAGCAGATGAGTCCAGCTTGTCGCACTAGTGGTCACGTGGCGCACGTGCTATTGCATGTGCCGTGGCACGGGGTCAATTTTTGTGCTTAAATACACCAACAATGTGAAATGCAAGGAATGGGGGAAATCGCCGTTAGGCCGTCAGGTTTTATGATAGGGTCGATCTGAAAACGGGTGTAGGCACAGAATGAAGGGGGCTAAAAAACTGCTATCTCGGATTTTTTGTAAAATGAAAAATTCAAAATTCTGGGGAAATTATATATTCGAAAGGTGAAATTTACCTAAATTTTCCCCTTTTTCGAGTTTAGCCGTCCACTGTTCAGTGACGGTGACACCGGCCGGGGTCATCTTTTACATGCTGACGGCTACGTCGATGGGTCATTACGTGGCGTAAACGGTGAAGCTGTCACAGGTCCAGCACGTGCCACGTGGCCACGTGTTTGAGTCAAAAACCTCCCAGATTATCGTGTGTTTGCCGACTTGTGGCCTTATAGCACAAAAACAGCACCAGTCAGGAAGCCTGAAATGAAACAATCGGTAAGGGGACAAGCCCTGCTTGCACCACCGGTGGTCACGTGGCACACGTGCAATTCTGGGCACCTCCGTTGCGGAGATATTTTATAGTGAAATATTGAAATGTACATAACTTTGTAAGTTTAAGTCCGATTGGGCTAGAATTTGGTGGGTGGATGAATTGTTAAGGGACATGAACGAATGCGTCATGTTTGTTGCAGTGCGCCACGTTTGTCTCAAAGCGCCATTTTTGCCGCAAAGCGCAAAATGTGCGTAACTTTGTCGAACATTGGACGATTAGGATGCGCTGTAATTAAGGGATGGCTGCTTAAACGGCAGATATGAATGCACCACATTTGCCGCAGGGCGCCATATTTGTCTTAATGCGTCAGTGTTTGCGTTTTGCCTAGGCGGGCGTTTTTTGCGGCGGTGTTTGCGTTTTTTCGGTGTTTGCGTTTGACGGCGGGCAGCCGTTTTTGCGTTTTTGGCGGTGTTTGCGTTTGGCGGCGGGCGGCCGTTTTTTGCGGCGTTTTGCGGTTGGCGGCGTGCGTGCGTGCGTTGCGGGCGTTTTTTGCGGCGGTGTTTGCGTTTTTTGCGGTTTTTGTGTTTGGCGGCCGGCGGGCGGGCGATGCCGGTGTTTTTGCTGTTTGCGTTTGGCGGCGGGCGGCCGTTTTAGTGGTGGTGTGCGGCGGGCGGCCGTTTTTTGCGGCGTTTTGCGGTTTGCGGCGGGCGGCCGTCTTTTGCGGCGTTTTGCGGTTTGCGGCGGGCGACCGTTTTTTGCGGCGTTTTTTTGTGGTTTGCGGCGGGCGGGCGTTTTTTGTGGCGTTTTGCGGTTGCCGGCGGCCGGGCGTTATTTGCGTTGTTGCAGTTTGCGGCGGGCGGTCGTTTTTTTGCGGCGTTTCGCCGTTGGCGGCGGGCGATGCGGGCGTTTTTTTGTGGCGGCGGTGTTTGCGTTTTTTGCGGTGTTTGCGTTTTGCGGCGTTTTTTGCGTTTTTTTCTGCGGTTTTCGGCGGGCGGGCGATGTTTTTTTGCGAAGTTTGCGTTTGCGTTTTGGGCGTGCGTTTTGCGGTGTTTGCGTTTGGCAGCGGGCGGGCGGTTTTTCACAATTAAAGTCCCAACCTTCGGATCCGCAGAGCTGTTCGACAAGCGCTGCCCGGGCCTAGATATAGGCAGGTGAGTAACTGTGGACCAAAGGAGCAGTGGACCAGTTTAGCCACCCACCTCATTAGGCTTTTTCACACTCTCCACTTGGCAGTTGTACTGCTCATTGTCTTTAGTCAGCATCAGAATCGACTCCATGTCAGGGGCATTCTGAAAAAGAACATATCAAGGTGCATGAGAAACATGTTCATTGCCAGTGCAAGTCAATTCACTATTCATTCAATATCATTTTTATAGTACATGCAAGTTGTATGAGAGCAACAGATGACATTTTACCAGCTACCTGTGAAGATCCACACCAGAAAATAGTTCCTAGTAATAAGTTCATCCATACTTATGCAATATAAACTGAGACCTCAAAGGACTGATACCATAACTGTTGTAAATAAGCTCTCACCAGCAGATCAACATCAGAGCTTCCATGCCAGACAATCTTCCAGCTGGAATCCTCCACAGTAAAACCTGAGAGCGGGGCATGATCTCCTTCCTTTTCCACATTTCCACTAGCTTCATCTGCATGACCAGCTTGCTGATCATCCTGAACAGCCTCTTGCTCTTGGCCAGAACATGTTGATAAGCAAAGAGCACAACCAAGAAGTAATATAACAATCTTCATCTTCTCTGAACAAAAAATCACTTGGAAATATGAGATATTGAGTTTAAATCAATCACAAGTCTTGTGATTAAAGTTCTGAAAAAGGAAACATAACCCATCAAATCAAATCATAATCCACCAGTATATACTGCCTTCAATCCACCTTATCAAATGGCATCCACCAATCCACAAATTTTTCACCAACTTCCTACCACAATTCATGAATTACTAGCTGCATTTAAGTCTGTGGCATAGTTGGAGTAACCATGCACAAAATAAAGTGTTGCCTTGGTTTGTCATATTTTGGCAAAAAAAGACGCTGTCAGGAATCAGCTCATTACAAATACAGCAGCTGAATCTCATTCACTCCAAATCCAGCTCCACTGTGAACTGTCTGATTACTCCAAAGTGTGAGGTCAGTGTTGCAATGTGAGGTCAGTGTTGCAGCTCTGCACTTACAAAACTAAGACCAATACCTGAATTCAAGAAAATTAAGGCCAGGTTGATTTAATTTGAAACAATTATGTTGTAAAACACATGGAAATGGATAAAAACAGGTCAGCCATAAGCACTACTCGTCATGGAAACTCTGGCCCCAAATCCATTCTTTCAGGCACAAGCAAAAGCGTCATGCAGTTCTCTTTTACTCAACACAACCCTTAGCTCTCGGGCTGCATGAAAGGAAGGTTAACTTTCTCCTATTTCAATTAACACATTAAAAATATAGCAAATCTTCACAGCAGCCCACAGCTTCCAGCTTTGGACCTGCAACACCATTTGTTCGACGATTCAGCAAAATAGTGGTTCTATTGATAATAGCCGCAAGTTACCTAGCAACCTCCTAACTTTCATTACGAGTTGCCCGGCAACCAGCTAGTTTCTGCTACTAGCACGTGTCTGTCTTATGCAAATTATGTTTTCGAACAGTGCTTTCTATTATGCTATGAGCTCTGTGGTATGGAAGTTGGGTCCTCTTTGGAGCCAAGCATTTCTGTTTTTTAGTATTTTCCGGTAGAAAGTGCGGAAGTTCTCACTCAAATTTGGCTCAAATTAAGATTGTTCTTTCCTGTTAGACACCTTTTGGATCATTCCTGGCTCAGGAATGGTGGCACTTGGCAAAACCTCTCGGCTCTCACCTGTCAACTTCAAGTGCGATTTTCAGCTTTTTTCAATTGAAGCTACTTCAGAGGATATTGACTAGAGATGAGGCATCAACTCCTCCTACTTACCTCTAATGTTTATGCTAATTTTAGTTTTGTAGTGGCCTTATATTTCGCCAGCCTCGTGAGGAGGAGGCTATACAGCTCGTAAAGTGAGACTGGTTGGTACTTGGTAGCCACTTTTAAAGCAGGATTTAGTCCTAGCTTCTCGTGGGCTGGACAGACTCCTTTCCTTTGTGTCAGCAACATGGAATGAATTATTGGGTAGATTTCCCAAGGATTCTTCAGTCCGGAATCATGGTGATGGAATTACCCTGTAATGGTATTGACTGGTATCGGTACACTTAAGTGGGTGTATGGTCATTATAATGGTATTACAACATATTTCAGATCAAAGAAATCTGTCATATTTGACTATGATACCTTCCTGTAGTGATGTGTCTGTGAGTGGCCTGTGGCATTGTGATGCTGAGTTGCAAAGCCTCAACTTGTGAACACAGGCCTGACAAATTGTGACTTTCTGCATTTCACAGTACACCAAACATGAATTTCTTGATGTTGGTCTGATGGAGTACTTGCCATTGTTTGGAAGCCTTGTTGGAATAGCTGTATTTGGAGCATACTTCTACAGAAGGTAGGTAATTTGATGCCCACCCACCTATAGACTATGAACAGTGGCCACTGGCCACACATGCATCAAATTTCTTTGTTTTACTTTCTCCAATAGAGCTAAGTTTTTATTGTTCACATTTTATTTGGCTCATTTGTTTTCCCTTGAATTATCTGGTACAAACTCCAAGGACAAATCTAGCTGCATGACAGCATGGCCATGGCCAGTGGTCATTTATGATATCTCACAGTCACCCATGACATGTGTTTGCATTTCATGCCATATCTAGAAAACAAATAAACTTTTTGGTTTCCTTGGATTAGGGGTGCTAAAGTAGATGCCACACTAGTCATCTTCTTTGATTAGTTTGAAGGGGGCAGATACCTAATAGGCTGTTAAAGAGACATTTATCCTATCCATTAGTCATTACCACTTGAGTAGGGACAAATTGGGTCTGATGGGGCCCTGCACCTTTCCTGGGGTCTTACTGGACCCTGTCTGTATAGCAAGGGCTTGATTGCAGGCCGTCTGTGTAGTAAGGGTCTGGTCTGACTCTGCAGCCCTGGCCCTGTCTATATAGCCGGGGTCTGACCGGCCGCTGTCGGTAGAGCGCGCGTGGCCGGCACGGCGTGTGACTGCGCGGACCGTATAGACGGCCGCGTGGTGCTCATCACTGGCGCCAACTCTGGCATCGGACTGCAGGTGGCCCGCGAGCTGGCGCTCAGAGGTAACGCGGCACCCACGGAGCACCCGCATGCACGCAGGGGGCACTGCTGCACCGAGCCCGCATGTGACGCGGCTGTGGGTGGCCCAGGATGGTCGTGATTCACCGCCTCAGCCTGGCTAACACACCGGGACGCGGGACGACACAGCAGCTTTTTGCCGGAGGACTAACATCACGCTTTGGTTTGGATTAGAATAGCAGCACACAGGCCTCAAACACTGCATGGACGCACTTACGCTGATTGGTTTTTCACCCTTACGATGTGAAGGCTATCGGTAAATGGCTGATGGGCGCCGCTTTGACAAGCTTCCTACTAGCTGGATCACTGGACTGATTCTAACACCCGCCTCGCTGGCTACATTCGCCCTCACCTCACCAGCTGCACTTGTCTTACCTCTCCGTGGCTTGGACCGGCGCCGGTGGTCGCCGGGTTGATCTGCACTAATGTTCAATGTTCGCTGTCAGATTAGGTGGTGTCTGGCGAGTATGCATTGTCGTCGAACTGTGCTGGATGTGCTTTTGGGCCACCACGGCTCTGCTGTCGTCGGACCATCTCCGTCCTGATTCTGATTCGGTCCGCTTTTTTCGTAAAACCACGATTGTATTATAAATTATTAGTCAGCAGCAACATCGCCGATGTTTGATGACGGGTGTAATGTCATTGGGATGGTTTAACGTGTTTAACTTCTCTGAGCGCCCTCGGCTTGCAGCGTTAATGCATTACTCATGCAATATGTCGGGTGCTTCTTCCGGTCCCTATCCCCATTGCCCGCCCACTATGACAGCTCCGTGCCACTGTAACGGCAGCCGGCGGGGTGCACCTGGACTGAGGCAGCCCCGTGCCACTCTGCTCACAGGAGGTCGGGTGTACCTGGCCTGCCGCTCGCTGGAGGAGGCGCGTCACACCGCCTTCAGCATCATCAACGAGACGAGTAACACGTCGGTGCGTCCGCTGCAGCTGGACCTCAACAGCCTGGCCTCGGTGCGCCGGCTGGTCAGCGAGCTCCGACAGGGTGAGTGAGGAGATCGGCCGGTGCCGTGCTGATTGAGTATCACGAGCATTGGTTTTTGGGGACGGAGATATGCGGGGAGTTGCGTGATGCAATCCAGAGTAGGTATGCTTGAAAGATCGTGGTATAAGTGTTGAGTAAGTGCTGAAGGAGGTCGATGTTCATGGATTGTCCCCGTTTCCACTTACCTTCGAAGCCCTGCAGTGGCTTTCGGAGCTGCTCAGAGGAGGTGACTGCTTGATCTTTCCCCCCCCCCCCCCCCCCCCCCCCAGTGAAATATTGGCTGTCGATAAGGACTCAGGGTTGACCGTTTTGTCTGTGTTTACCCAGTGAAGCTGACCGTTCGGTTTTATGTTCTCAGCTGAGACTCGTCTGGATATTCTGGTGAATAACGCCGGCTGTTTCTACTGCCCGCCGTCCCTGACCGAGGACGGATTCACCGTCACCTTCCAGACCAACTATCTAGGTGAGGGAGAGGCACATAGTTACAGAAAATAGAATAGTTATATCAGCTATCTGAGGATGGGAGAGAACAATCCACCCGTCCCGTCTAGACACATCGAACTCCGTTCGTCAGGCTGTGCCGTCCCTCTCCCGGCCTTCAGCCACTAGCTTATCGAGATACACTCCCGCTTTCTCCACGCAGGTCACCCCACCCCGCTGATCCTGTACCCCACCCCGCAGGTCATTTCCCGCTGACCCTGTGTCTCCCTCGGCAGGTCATTTCCTGCTGACGCGCCTGCTGGCGCCGCTGCTGGTGCAGGCGGCCGCCGGCGCTCGGGTGGTATTCGTCTCCAGCGCCGCGCACCTGACCGTCTCCCGGCTGGAGTTCGACTGCGCCGGCCGCGCCGCGCAGCCCGCCGGCGCGCCGCCACTACCTCCCGCCGGGGTGCCCGCCGAGCCGCCGGCCCGGCTCCAGTACCACGTGGCCGCCTACGGACAGGCCAAACTGGCACTGGCCGTGTTCGCAGCCGAGCTGGCCCGCAGATTGAGGGGTGAGGAGTGGGCTGGAGAGGATGACGGAGGGGGCTGTTCCTTAGGCTTAGGTTTGAGAGCTGGGGTATGCAGGAGTTTAGGGACAGGATAATACTTGAGAACTCTGGAAGGGCGCAGTCGATGGGACACAACCTGCATTATCTAATATTCTCATTTTCCCGCTAATATTCTCGCTTGCATTCTGCTAATATTTTCGTCGTTTTCAGGGAAGGACATTTGTGTGAATAGCGTGGACCCCGGTAATGTCAACACCGACATCTACCGGCACTACCGCGAACTAAACACCTTCCACGTCCGGCTGCTCCGGTAAGTGGCCGCCGCAGTGCGTGGGACGCTGCTGGAGCGTGGACAGCCAGCCGTGTGTGTTTCATGACTGTTCATAGCGTTCAGCACTAGCAGGCATCTGCTGCACTTACCTCTGTGTATACGCCTCTGTAACATCCCTACGATTGGGTTACTTCACCTGACCTGACCTGGCCTGACTCGACTCTCCGTGCGCCGTCAGGTGTTTTCTGATGCGCACGCCCTCGGAGGGCGCTCAGACGGTGATCCACTGCGCGTGCAGCTCCAAAATCGACGGCGTCACCGGACAGTACTTCAAGTAAGTCCACAGGAGGCGTGCTGACGTGTCTTCTCGGAGAAGTCAACGTTGAATACCTCGTCATTTATCACTTACACATTGTGTTCATGGTTGCTAAAATTCTGCATCTCTCAAACGCTTTTATTTGCGCACTTCGAGCCTTTCTTTTCGGCTGACTGTGTCGCTCCATCGTCGTTTCAGGGACTGCACGATAGCCGACGCGAACCCTCTGGTACGGGACCGTGAGGTGGGTGAAGAACTGTGGCGGCTGAGCGACCGGTGGACGGGACTCAGCTCACTCTGAGCTATCTGAGGGATCTAGGAGACCGGTGAGCTCTCTCTGAACTGTGGACTCTCTACCACTGCAATCGTGGGCGGATCTCTACCTGCTGTGAGCTTAGTGGCGTGTGAGCGGAGCAGTCGTCGCTACAGTGACAAACTTTTGGTATAGTGTGATCTCTGGTAGTTGTGATAGCAGACTCCCTGAATCTCAGTGCTGTATCGGCGTCTGATATAGCCGCACAGTAGCTCGCCAGACCGGCGATAACCGCGGCTCCCCGTGAGTCCCTGCGCCGCTCATCATGTCGCCGATCCACTGGCGCTCGTCGGACGGTGCCGTGGAGCGGACCCTGCTGCCGACCGAGGCGGACCGCTCCGCCGGCGGGGACGGTCCGCCTGAGCCGGCCGGCCTCTGCCAGCCCGGCGCCCGCTGTCGACTGCTGCTGGAGACGGAGCCCGACTGCCCGCCGCCGGCCGGTCTGGACCTCAGCGACCCCTCGGTGACCGCCTGGCTGCCGGCCGGCGCCGCTACTATCGGAGAGGCCGACACGGAGCTGGACCGGCTGCTGGAGCGGTGTCTGCGCTCCCTGCGGCCCGCCGACCGCTGCCGGGTGGTGCTGCGCCCGCGGACAGACCGGCTGCCCGCCGCCGCGCGCGCCGCAGGGGAGGAGGCGGTGCTGACCCTGCGACTGACAGTACTGGAGGTGGAGGGCGGACGGCCGGACGCGCGGCTCTCACAGTCGGAGCGGCTGGCTGTCGCCGAGGCGTCCCGTCTCAGAGGGAACGAGCTGTTCGCGGCCGGCCGGGACGTGGACGCGCTGTACCGGTACCGACGCGCGCTGGCGCTGCTGGTCTATATACTCCCCGAGGGACTGAGTGAGGCGGAACGGGCGGCGGTCGCCAGCGCGCGGCTCGCCTGCCGCGCCAACCTGTCAGCCGTACTGCTGCGGCGCGGCCGTCACGAGGCAGCGCGCGCGGCGGCCTCCCGAGTGCTCATTGAGCAGCCGAACCACGTGCGGTGTCTGTACCGGCGCGGCGCGGCGAACCTGGCGCTACAGGACCACGAGGACGCCGAGCGGGACCTGCGCCGGGTGCTGGAGCTGGACCCCGGCAACGCGGCCGCCACCCGGCAGATGGCGCTGCTCGATAAACGGAAACGCGACGTGGATCAGCACACGGCCAACTTCATGACAAAGTACTTCCAGCAGTAAGCCGCGCCGCCGCTGGTGTATGGATGGACCCTTTCACCGGCGTAAGTGGCCAGGGCTTTATGGCCATACGTATGCACCATTCGGGTGGTGGTGATAGGGAGTGAACGCTCTCAGCAGAGCCATGACAGACGACATTGTAAGCTGCGCCGTCTCCCTGTTACGCTTAGTCGCCTATTATGCTGCCGTTAGGTCAGCGGTTGCGATGGGATCAGCGATTTTGGGCTTCAACCGACCTGCTCGCATGCATATGACATTTCAGAAAAGGCGCCGGGCTTACAGCAGATTAATTAGCACCGTGTCGGTGCCATTGTGGCCGGACTGGCTACCCGCAGTTTCTGATGATGTGCGGTGAGCTGGGCATTGTTATGGTCTGGAACGAACTGTTACGTCTGTACCTCACAGGACCGGCTAATTCCTCCACCTCAGCCTGTGGTGAGTGCGGTGTTTGATGCTGCCAGCGCTCTTCCAATACGCGTTGTTATACACATATGGGGCATTGCTTTGTGATATAATAAAGCAGTTTTGTGATAATGGCTTTTGCTTGAATAATGATTGTTGTGCGCAACACTCGTCTTGATGTGTGTCACGCGATCTACTCATTTTCCCCTCATTTTTTTCAGTTACCGCGGGCACAAAGATCATTTAGTTTTATCTTTCGCGTTTATTTGATCTCTTACATCCACAACAACAACAACAATAATAAATAACAGTTCGTGCATTCAATGTGAGCCAGCGACCCTCGCCATCTGAGTTCGTACAGCGCAGATCTGGCTCCAAACACACGGAGATGCCACGTAATAGCCCTTTCAGTCTTTGCACGATACAAAGAACAGGTCACGCCCTGGAATAGTGTGACAACAATCTCACCGAGCAAAATACGCACCCATACAGACTGCACGTTCAAAAACATCCAGACCATGCCTCACAGTTGTACATCGTTACACTTGTAGCACAATTCAGCCCAGTGACATTGTTTCACCAGTCGGTGTGGCCCTTTTACATGAATAGTGTTTAGCAGGGCAATCTAATGCGTGCTTTACCATAATACCTGTTTTTTAACAAACCAAAATAGCCTGGTTCATCAGCATCCGTTCTGTATCTTTCAGACTATCGATATAAGCTAATTTGCTGTCGTTACTGAAGTACAAAGTTCTGATTGCTGACTGAAACATGTGGACGTCTCTAGTTGTCCGCGCCGCCGCTCTCCGCTCGCTGCCACGCTGGCCGCTCGGCGGGCGCCGCCTCCTTTGCTCCAGGCCGTTCTGAGGACCCTCCGAACATGGCCGTCAGGATGGGGTCGCTCTGCACGGGCGGGAGCTGCTCCTCCGCCGGGGAGGGTGCAGGCGTGGACGGCCTCCGGAACAGGCCGGCTAGGAGGCCTCCGCTGCCGCCCCCGGAGGACTGGGAGGAGGAGGAGGAGGCGGAGGAGGAACCTCCGAACAGACCGGAGAGCAGGCCGGACATCCAGCCGCTGCCGGGCCGGGCGGGCCGCGGCCGCGCCGGCGGACCGCTGGGACTCTGCGGCAGCTCCGGCCGCTCCTGCGGGGGCGGAGGACGCCGCGGCGGCGGCGGGCGGAACGGCCGCTCCGGGAGGAAGCCGGGGGCGCTCTGAGTCACCTCAGGCCGAATCACACCCTCCTCAGCTGTGTTTGACTGAGCGCTCGGACCGTACTCCCCGGTCGGAACAAACGGCCCGCCGGCATGGAACTCCACATCATCGTATTGAGGGATGTCACCCATCTCCTCCCCGTAATCTTGTCCAGGATGATACAGGTCGGCCGGGTCTGCGTCCACATACTCTTCCTCGGCGTATGGCCGGCTCTCAGGCTCTGCTGTCACCTGGCTGACCTCCTGGGCCACCTCGGTCGCCTCCTGGATCACCTGGGTGGCTTCCTGGGTTCCCTGCTCGGCCGGAACCACAGTCTGCCTTACCGGAACCCGCACCACGCCGGAGACCACGGGCGCCCAGACGGAGCCCTCCGACTGCAGGTCCGAGGGGTCGCCGATGTAGTACTCGAGCTGCTGGTAACCGGACGCCTCGGTGGTGTCTGCCGCCTGCTCAGGCTGCTCGTAGTACTGCTCGGGGTCCTGGTATTGCCTTGCATCATCGTAGTATCCCTCGGAACCCTCGTACTGCTGCTCCGGGTCTTCATAGTACGGCTCGGCTGATTGAGGCTCCACAAACTGGTTGTTGTGCTCCTCAGAACTGATGTGTCGTTCGGGCTGGTCGATGGTCGTTTCAGCATGCTGTTCGTCCTGTTTCTGCGGCGGGTGGTTGACGATCGGAGTCCAGGCCTCGATCTCGGAGAGGATACGGTCGGTGACGGCGGCGGCCTCCTGGTCCTTGGAGGCCTCCAGGACGGCCGGGTCGGCGCCGATGTCGTTCTGGACGGCCGGGGTGGGCGACGCCGGCCGCTCGGGGCTCCACGGCTGCGGCCGGGTCGTCTCCCACTGGGAGCCGACCGCAGTCGCCCGGTTAGACTCGGTGGTCTGCTCAGTGTACGGCTCGGTGGTTGGCGGCGGCTGGTAGGTCTCCGTCGTCACCTGCTCGGGTGCAGTCTCATCGACAGCGACCGTCTGTACCTCAGTCGGTGTGCCGATCTCCAGAGCCGCAGTCGGCTCCGTCTGGTCGTCAGCGCGCGACAGCTTCTGCACCTTGGCCGGCTCCGAGGAGAACCCGATGGCGTTCGACACCGGCTTCCGCTTCTCCGCGTACGTGGGCTTCTTGGCGTGCTTCTTGCCGGCGTTGATGCCGAACATCTTGATGCTGGAGTAGCCTCCGGTGTGCGTGTACGGCGACTCGGCCACCAGATTCTGCGCCACCGTCACCGGACGGATGCCGAAGCTGAACGGCGGACGCTGCGTGGCCAGGGTCAGGATCGACACCCGCTCGCCGCTCTCTGGTTTGGCCTGGGCGGGTCGGGGTGCCGGTGCGGCGGGTCTCTGCGGCGGGGCAGAGTCCTGAGGGCGAGCCACCGATGGTGTGATGGCCGGCTCCGGTCGACTCAGAGAGGGGCGAGAGAACAGGCCCGGGCTCTTCACTGGCGGCCTGGAGAACGGCTGAGGACGGCTCGCCGGCAGAGACTCGGGACGGGTCACTGAGAACGGCTCAGGACGGCTGACTGGGAGGGACTCGGGGCGGCTCACGGAGAACGGCTCAGGACGATCCACTGGGAACGGCTGGGGTCGTGCGACGGAAGGACGGATGAGCTGCGGCGGCCGCGGCCGGCGCGTCGGAAGGGGAGCTTCTGTGGTCTCCGGAGCAGCCTCTTCTGTGACCTCCTCGGGAGCGGGCCGCTGAGGCAGTGTCAGTGTCGGCCGTCGGATGGGGCTCTCCACCGGCCTCTCGGGCACGGTCAGGAGAGGCTCCTCGACTGGAGTCTCGCTCTGGACCTCCTGCTCCTGCTCCTCAGGCTCGGGCCGACGCTGCAGCAGCGGGGACGGCCGCCGGGTCGGCCTGCTCGCCGACAGCCGGTCGAACACGGACGGTCGCGCCGGCCGGCCGCCAGGGGTCACCACAGGCCGTCCTCCGGGACCGGGCCGGCGGCGGCTCGGCGGCGGCCGGCGCCGACGGTTGGACTGCAGCTCCGACTGGATCAGACGGTCGATCAGGGCCTGACGGTCGGGCGACACGGAGTCGGACTCAGAGTCAGTCTCCGGGCGGGACTCCGAGAAGCCCGGCTGTTTGAACACGGACGGGCGGGGTCGGAAGACGCTGGGCCTCTCAGGGAAGCTCGGACTGCTCTCAGTGGAGGTGGTGGCTCTCTCGGTGGTGGTGGTTGTTGTCGTGGGCTCCTCTGTCGTAGTGGTGCTGGTGGTAGTGGTGGGGGCTAACGTAGAAGGCTTCTCCGGCCGCGGGACGCTCGGTCTCGCTCCGGGCCGCGGTCTCGGTCGGAGTCGGTTCAGGTCGGGCCGCCTCTGGAGGAAGCTGGACAGCGGCCGCCGCCGGCGGACTCCGCTCGGCGAGCTGTCATCATCGTCATCATCGTTCGAGCCGGGCGCGGGCCGGCGGCGGAACGGCGGCCGCGGGCGGGCCGGCTGGGACGCCGGTGTCGGCGGCACGCGCCGGGTGGTCGTCTCGGTCACCCGCTCTGTAGTCGTCGTCCGCTCGGTGGTGGGACGGGCGGTGGTCGTGGTTGTGGTCGTCGTCGTCGTCGTTGCTTCAGTCGTGATCCGCTCAGTCGTCTGAGCTTCCGTCGAAGTAGGCTCCACTGGCTTTGTGAATCTCACTGGCTCGGGCTCTTCTTTTTTCTCCACCTCTTCAGGTCGCTGGAAGTCCTCGATCTCCTCCTCAGGACTGACGGTGTTGAGCTCGTCCCGGTCGGCCGTCTCCTCGGTCGCCTCGGTGCGCTGAGTCACCGGCTCGACCTCAGGAACCTCCGGCGCCGCGGGACGCTCAATCTCGTTCTCCTGGAAGAAGCTCGGCCTCTCGAGCCGCACGGGTGGCCTCGGGCGGGGTCGCACCGGTCGCCGAGGCCTAAACGGACGTACGGGACGGATGGTCTGCAGTGGTGGCGGGCGCTCCTCGACTGGGCGCTGTACCGGGCGCTCGACCGGGCGCTCCACGGGCCGCTCAAACGGCCGCGCTACAGGCCTCTGTACAGGTCGCTCCACCGGACGTTCCACTGGACGCTCCACGGGCCTCTCCACCGGACGCTCTACAGGCCTCTCTGGCCTCTCCTCTGGCTCCTCCGTCTGACCCTCGGTCTCCTGGCCCTCCTCCCTGATGGGGGTGAAGGCGTCCGCCGGCAGCAGGTCCACGGGTGGCTGGAACGCCGGCGCGCCCGTCTCGGTCGGCGGCGGGGGCGCGTTCACCACAGGCACCCTCGGAGGAGCCGGGACCGGCACCGACGGGGCGGGCTCCGAGTCGAGGACCGGCTCGTCATCGCCCTCCAGCTCAGCAGGGGGCTCGGGAGCACCGAAAGCGCCGGCCGGGGTCCAGCCGTCGGCGTCAGACTCGCTGAACGAGAACCGGTCGTCGGTGGGGGGCAACTGAGGCGGACGGAACCCGCCGGGTGGCGGGCGCTGCGGCCGGCGCTGGGGCGGCTGCGGGAACTGAGGACCCGCCAGCTGCTGCGGTGGGCGCTCGGAGAACTGCGGCGGGCGCTCGGAGAACTGCGGCGGACGCTCGGCGAACTGCGGTGGGCGCTGGTTCTGCTCGGAGAACTGAGGAGCGGGGTTCTGCTGCGGCCGCTGCTGAGGCGCCCCGTTCGGCGGGGGTCGGCGCCGGATGGGCTCCTGCTGTGGGGGAGGTCGGGGCGGCAGGCGCTGCGGCGGCTGGCCGGGCCACGGCTGCTGGCCGGCGACCGGTCGGCGGCGCGGCGGCAGGGGCCGGTTTAGCTGCGCCTGCTGGCCCTGCGGGGGCGGCCGGGGCCGGCGGCGGCGCGGCGGGCCCGGCTGCCCCTGCGGCAGCGGCCCGTCCACCCGGCGACGGATGGGCGGCCTCAGAGGGCCACCGTCCACCACGGGCGGCGCGTACTGCAGCGTCGGGCCGTTGGGCACGGGTCCGATCGGTCCCAGGGGGCGCCACTCGTCCGAGCCGCTCGCCGAGGAACGGTGCAGCAGTACCGCCGGCTTGCCTCCTGGCGGACAGAGACGGAACCAGGGGTCAATCGTATGCGCCGACCGTCCCTGCCTACATGATAGTCCTGCCGCGACCCGTGTCGGGGAGGTATGCGACTCCTACACACAGGCGTCTGATGTGACGCTATTGGCGCTCGATGTTCGACGGAACACGTCGGAATGTTCCGCTAAGCGGGGCACATCCTGTTACCTTTTGTTGACCGCTGTCGGTTTCGCGACATTTCTTTATCAGACTTTGTAAAAATGATTGGACAATGGGGCTGTAAATTCGTCACAAGCGTCATGCATTTCCTCACACGCTCGAGCAGCGAGAACTGTTGTGGATACCGCCTTAATTATTTTCTTCAGTACGGAGTACCCTAGCGATTTCCTAAACCTGGTACGCTCGACAGTCGACGCTGTCTGAACTCTGGCCTCTGTGTGTCGTTCTCTCACCTTGCCTGGGTCCCTGCCAGAGCTGCTGGCCCTGCTGAGGTCGCTGGGCAGCCGCTGTGGCCGCCAGCAGGGCGACCAGCAGCTGCCGCAGCCCGAGAGCCGACATCGTCACCTGCAGGGGTTAGAGGGGGACAGTCAGTCACGAGCTATCTGCTACCACAGGGCCGACATCGTTACCTGAGGGAAACAAGAGGACAGTTCGTGACATATGAACCGGCGACCTGTGGTTAGAGGTGACATCGTGTTAAGTTCATACTTTCGACGTTTGGGCCCATCATTTATCTTTTCCTCTTTGACAGCTTTCTATTGGCTGCATATGCCAAGATTTACTTCACTCTACTGATGGCGTGTGAACAGCTCATTTACCAGACCGGCAACGAAGCGTCAACGTATGACTAACCGAGCTGTCTCTCATCATCCTCAGTCTGCGATACGCCCGTGCGTCAGCGCTCGTCAATCGGGTTAATGCGGCGAAATTCGACAGAAAGTACACATATCGTGCCACTCCGCCTCCAGACCAGTTTTACGTATGCGAGTGCTTATTTCTGGTGGCGGTTAGAGAGCTCAATACGTGCGCAGCGGAGGGGTTTGCGCCGGAGACGGAGCTGACTGGAGGCACGTGCGCTAATTTCGGTCTCAGTGGGTTAATCCTCCGACTCGTTCCCGCCTTCTGACCCATATCGCTGCGGGTCGGTGCGGATCTCGAGTCGGACCGGCCACTCCGCTATCGGCAGCGCCGGTCCGCCGCTCGCCATTGTTGGGACGCGCCGGGTTTCTGGGTGCAATGGCGTGCTATTCAGACCGCTGAGATAGAAGGAACGGGAGGTGAAACCCGAAACATTTTAGTGCATTGATGAAGATTTTTTCGTTCTATACCTAAGGAATGCCATACCCGTGACAGGTTACGGCACCTGTTACGGCACAAAGGGAATCATTTGATCACGCGCTACGCATTTTTATTTGTTTGTTTTATCATCATTGCTGATATTGAAGGGTTGCCTATTTCTGAACGGATTTCTCCCCCATGCTGGGAGTCACGGGTCAGCTCCGCGCCCACCCGGAACCGCCTGACCCGGCGCCGTCTCCAGCGCTGAAGTAGGTCCCGGGACCGTCACGAAGTCACAGCTGATGACGCCTGTGCCGTCACGACCGTCACGACGCCGGCGACCTTGCTGAAAGGCCCGCGCGGCGGTCATCTGAAGGTCGTGTGTGCGGGTCAGCGCCCCGGCCGGCGCACCGGTGACCCAGTGGCCGGCCGGCCGGGCCCGACTGGTTTGCGCAATGCATGGGTAACGGACGGATGAGCGGCCGGTGCGACCGGTGCGACGGCGGGTCAGCGGCCGCGCCGGCCGGCCGGCCGACCCGTGCCAGCCAGCCACGCACCGGTCGGAGCGGCAGCCCGACCGACCCGGGACCCGGGGTCCGCACCCAGCCGGCCGATCGGAGCGGGCTAACCGACCCGGGACCCGGGGTCCGCGCCGGTCGGCCGGCTGCCCGCGGACCCTGCCGGACCTACCGGCGGACCCCGCCCGGCCGGACGCGGCATACTGTCCCCACAACCGGCCGGCAGCCCGCAGCGGCACCTGCGGTTAGATTCGCTGCCGGCGCGCGCGCCGCGGTGGTGTCACTGGTTTCCATGGGAAAGTGGCTGTCCACCCACTGGGTCACTGGGCTGAGCACACGGAGTTGGAGGTGCACCAGTCGCCGAACGAGCCGGCCCCAGCTGGTTCGGCCGGAACCGGCTGCGCATGGCTGCGGTCGCGTTTTAACGGATCCTCCGCGGATTTGCACAGCATTGACTTTCACATTTCTCTGGGGAACTGAGTAAATAGGTCGGCACAGCATGTCGTGACGAATTAGGCGACTTCAGTCACGAAACCTTGACAGGTTTGTGTGCTCTTCCGCCGCTTTGTTTGCGTTATCTCGATCGGACTGCTTATAAGCCCCGTTCTTACATGCTCGGGTAGACACGATAATTGCAGGTCATCATCGTGCGTGTTGCGTGACTGTAAACGTAAGGGCCACTTACGCACACCTTGAATGATCTATCGCGTCAGATGTCAGCAGAAAGCCCGGAAGACGTGCCACCTTTCACGGCATGATGTTGAGCTTTACCCACCTGTATTTATTTTTATTGTGCTCCAAAAAAAACTTCTTTGATTTATTAGTTGTCCCTACCCTTACGCATTAGGTACTGAAATGTATCCACAACGTTTTTGTGAAATGCTTTACAATGGTTGAAAAGTTAAAATAAATCAAAATCATCCTGTAGGGACGAAAAAATGCTTGTTGGACAAACAATCTCGCAAAACATTCCAAACAGTCAGAAAACGATATTCGAGTTTTGAGTTAGATTTGGGGACACGCCTAAAAAATAATCTAATGAGTCGAATATTTTAAAGACGGTTACTTTTTGGATTATGTTACATTATCGATTATGTACATATTCTTACATTATCGACGGTACATACATTGACATACCCATCTAAGTGATTTCGTGAAAACACGTCATAGGCCTTTTTCAAAAACAAACGTGATATATAAGCGCATTCATATAGACGTCCGTGATTAACAACGGAAACATAATTTTCCATTCATAAATTATTATGTGAAAAAATGTTAAAGAGTTTTTCAGCCTCAGTGAACTGAAAAATTTGAAGGTCAGTGATGAATGACAATTTAATCTATAGCCGAAATGCCTATAACTAATATTTATAATAAGAATGTTTTTAAAAAATCGACAAGTTATGTGGATTAAGTACCTACAATAAATGATTTCGGACGATCTGCCTAAGCCCATCACGCACACCCCTATCGGGTGACCCACCGTGTAGCTGTGTAGACGCCCGCTATCAGTCCGTCTCCGCTGGTCGGCTGTGCTGTCCCCGTCTCCGCTGTTCCCGCTGTGTGACCGCCCGTCAGGTCCGGTGAGGGCGGTGTCCGGGCGCGGAGCGGGGCTGGTGCGGCCGGTACCGACGGCCCAGCGCGGCCAACTGACCACCGGCGGCCGCTCCTCCGACGGCGACGGGCCTCCGTGACCCGGCGACGCGCCGCGACCCCGATCGGAGCGGCGGGCGCGGCGCGGCGGCGACGGCCCCGCTGCAACGCGCCGCCACGGGCCGCGGCAGTCGTCCGGGAGCGTGTGTGACCTCTGCCACCCCCCCCCCCGGACCGGCCGGTGTCCGGCTCCGCTCTACCTACACCGGAGCGGTCGTGACCTACGGGACACCTCTGCTGGACAAAGCACGACCCAGAGAAGAAAGCAAAAGGGTGAAAGTCACTGTGGGAAAACGCAAACTTTGCACTCTGACCTGCGAATGAGAGGGTGTGTGTGAAACATACCAGGGTGAAGGTCATATGTTCTTAGATACGGTACAGTTCATGGATACATCCTCTTCTGAAAAAGATGAAATGAATGTTTGTTTTAAAGTTTGCAGATGGGTTGGGCTCTGCAAACATTTTCTTGCAATGCTTTGCTAAGAATACATAGACAGATGCCGCTTGAAAGTGCAGTTATTATTCTTTTCTACGCAACATAAAGCATCTAAACATTAGGATCATAGCATTAGCTATCTCTAGACTAATGGTTTTGACTTGTAAAGCGATGTTCTTACCACCGGCTCTTTTATAAAGGTACGAAAATTATTGCTTCCGTCAGAGCTGCGTGGTCGCAGTCGGAGTCGGAGTCGGTCAGATTGGACAATACTGACCGAACTGCTAGAGACGGAGTCGGAGTCCATTTTGGAAACCGGAGCCGGATTCGAAGTCGGAGTCACTGAAAATCCATCGACACCGCAGACCTGGCAGGGCTGCGGACTCGGACTCAGAGTCGGTCAGAGTGTACATTTCTACCTGAGTCGGAATCGGAGTCGTAGTTGGTTTTTTTAAAGTCGGATTCGGAGTCGGAGTCACGGAAAATCCATCGATTCCGCAGCCCTGGCTTCAGCAACTGAGCACATTTATGCTGCTGGTGTTATCTACTAATGCTTCATCGAAGTCTCCCGATAGTTTCTTGTGTTACGTTGCAGTCTCCCAGTGCGAGTCTTCGAGACGTCCGCTATCATTCTTTTTCCTCCCTTCGGAGCCTACACCGGACAATCACACCTCAATCTTCCATAGTTCTCTACTAATTTATTGTCAATGCCGTGGACCCGAGAGAACGTGGTGCTATCTTCTTGTGGCATGTTGATGTCTCTGTGTGTCGGCTACCTACCTATGCTTCGATGCAGTCTCCCGTGGATTTTTGGTTGCTGCGTGCAGCACGTTGAAAGTCTGCCTTACGAGTACGTCCCTAGCTAGCTACTTAGATGCACTTTACCGCTGTTTTCGACTTCGTTAACGGAATTTGACAATCCGTAGGTATCCTAATGCATCGCATTCGCATCTAACACTAGCTTGACATTGTGGAAGGATGAGCAGTGCTTTTCATCTTGTGAGAACATTGGTGGTTTGTTTTGCATCACAGCTTACGCATCTAAAATTGTGTTCTGTTGTGGACATTGCATAGAAGGACACCCCGTGCATTTATTTGAATTGCGTCAATCGTTTTACGACGTTAGTTACTGTTCGTAAGTGCGTAGTGAGCAGTCGTACGTGCGCAGGCCACGCGGTAATCCGACGTCTCATTCGCTGATCCGGTCGCCGGATTTGGGATCTGGTGGGACCCAGTTACACAACTGCCGTCTTCCGCCGGTGACCCGACCCGGACGGAGGGCAATCCGGATCTCCGCTGACCCCAATGACGTCAGGACATCTGCTTCCGGCCGAGCGGGGCGCTGGAACGGGCGGGCGCTCACTCCCATGTGATAAAAGACGGTCAGCAGTCGGCACCCTTTCCCTTGAAGACACACACACGGTAGTGGTTGTAAGGTTGATGTCGATACTCACATCCGTAAGTGAATTCATGATGAAGTGTCATTTTTAGGCAGTTTTATGCCCTACTCACGGATCAGACCATGAAATAGTGTACCCACGGACGACAAAAGCCATTCGTCCAATGACCACTGATGACACACACCGGGGTGAAAGTTATCGATGACTGACGAGTACCGAGTGCCGAGTCAGGCCGGGCCGTGTGACTCAGACGCGCGCACTCACGAAGGCGAGAGTTAACCACTGCCTGTGTGCGGCCGGTGGTCGGCGGCGCATGGAGCCTGACACCGATCAGGAGCGCCGCCGGTGGGTGGGTGGTTATTAGGGACCGCGCCCAGGAAATGGGGGCTCATTGTCGTGACACACTGAGTGGGGTGGTCAGACTGCCGGCTGAAACTGTCACCAGAGTGACTGACCGGCTATTTACTGATTTGTGTCTCAAAATAAGTGCGGATAAATAGCTGGTGTCTCTTCTGTGTTCTGCTTGTCGTAAATGAGAAATCATACTAACATTACCCTGCTGATGAATGACGAGATGCAAATTCATTCCGATGCAAATACGATACCTATGCCTGCAATATGCAAGCAGGGTATTTGTGGTTTAGTTACGTCATTAAAATACACATTTTATTCTGCTAATGACGTTTATGTGTTATGAGGTTATCGGTGGAGCCAACAAATAACTAAATGCACGTATTTGTTGGCTCCACCGATAGCCTCATAACACAAATATGTCCCTAAATGACGTTTAGCTTCGATTGTAAAGCGTTGGACTGGACAGCTGGGTCGGACCGCACAGCTGGCTGACCGCCGCTGTGAGCCGGTACCATCGGCGCTCGTCACGGCCTCAGTTGGCGCGTATGCAGCCGGGTCGCCGAGTGGTAGGTATGCAGGAATGCAGGGCTGCCCGGCGGCGCCGGAGCGGCTAACTGTCCCACCGAGCCGGCAGGCCGGCTGGAACAATGATGAGGCGGCTGACACCTCTGAGTGGCACTCAGGAAATCTTATACTGGGTCAGAATGTCTGCTCCCCATGCAGGACTAAGTCTCAGCATACGGATCATGGCTGGTATCACACATCTCAGGGTCTATAAAAAAGATGAATGAAATAAATAAAAAAAATAAAACAGGCGTCTGCTCTGGATGGGCGGGCCGACCGGATGGTCGACTGGAGCTGTCTGAGACTATATGATGAGACGGCTACCTTCCCCACCCGAGCTCTGTCACTCATCAGCAGTGAGAGGAGTGGAGAGGAGAGAGGAGGGGTGGGGAGAGGCGGGTGAAATGGGCGGAGGGTGCCCGGGCAGCCTCCTAAGGCATGTGAGTAACGGAGCGGCGCGGTGGTTTCCGCAGAGACGGGTGGAATGTGGGTCACGTGAGAGACGCCCGCTCCCGGACTGTGACTCCGCGGGGCGCCTGACGTCCGCTCGCGCCGACAGTGACGAATGAATGACGTGAATGGAATGAATAAACTTCGTTCACGGGTGTTCAAAAGAATGTGCCACTTCAAATATGTTCTTAGTGTAGCTATGCTGAACTTCCGGTACTGTATGAAGCACGGCTGCGGAGTCGATGGATTTTAAGGTGACTCCGACTCCGACTCCGGCTTCAAAAATTGACTTCGACTCCGACTCCGGGCAGTTTTATTAAAATCCATATCATGATACTGAAGTTCATAATGGAGATGTTTTTATCCTGTCTGAAACGATCCCTTGTGCTTTCCAAGGCACTGCGTTGCAAATATGCATTTAAAAAACGTGCAGAATTAAAAAGCAGTTTTTGGGGAATTCACCGTTTTATGCTTCTTTCGCTGAAAACGTTCGTCCAAAACAGCAAAGTGGCCTTTTTTCGACAAAATCTAATTTCCAGCGCAGTACCTATTGTCAATCAAACAGGTGCAGTGCATGACGTTGAGCCATGCAGCGTTAACTCCTACTCCGGAGTCGGAGTCGGTAAGATTTTGGCGACTCCAACTCCGACTCCGGGCAGAACTGTTGACTCCGGCCGACTCCAACTCCGACTCCGACTCCGAATCCGCAGCCCTGGCATGAAGTGTGGTCAACTGCAGTGGAAAACGTACCAAGCTATCTATACCTGCAAATAAATTAAATTTTTCTAAGGCAGACTTTTACCTTTTATTTTAATGTCGGCGTTAATTCATATTAATTATCGCTGCGGATGTTTTCGATGAACATTTATAAAACGTTTTAATAACTGCTAACCGCTTCCTACTACGATACTGTGCAATTAAAGCTACGACACACTACTCGAATGACAATTCGCAAATCATCGCTTGATCAATAAAAAAGTCGATTAGCAGCCCGGAGCGCCGTGGTCGATTATCGGCTGCCTCCCGTCCACAACAAATAAATCTACCTGTCCCGCCCGCCTTCCTCTCACCCTAGCATCAGTCTAATGCACAGTAAGACCCATCCACACGTGTAATGAGCGCCCCGCGGTTGCAGTGTTATCGACCGACCCTGCTCCCGAGCACACGTGACCCAATTGAGATTCGGCTCCCCTGTAGGCGGGACGTTGACTCTGCGCACGGCGGGGTCCTCCGCCTATCGGCCCTCCGATCTGCCGATGAATATTTCATTCAGCAGGCGGGCTGCTGCTCAGCGTGCAGTTCACGTTCAGCTGTAGCCTGCACTCAGCCCCCTGCTGACGAGGGCCGGTATCTCAGCTCGGGAGCGGGACCCTCTGCCGACCTGCCGCGACACCTACCGTGGGTCAGCGACAGCCCAGCCACGACTGGCGCCACTACTGACACCTGGCGGTCAGTGGGTGTAACTACACTTGTAGTACGCCCTCTGGCCGGTAGATGTCGGGCGCTGAGGGTGTCCGGCAGGCCGGGTGCGGTCCGGGAGCGCGGCGGCGTCATCCCAGGTGGTTCGCCGCCGGCGGCGGCGGCAGTGACGCGCCGGTAGCCGCTGGGACCGCGAGGTGTCTGTGAGGGCAGTGTGTGCGGCGCGGCTCTGCACAATGGCGCGGGCCCAGGCGCCGCTCCTCTGGGTGGTGGTGGCGGGGGCAGTGACGGTCGCCGGCGGACAGAGCACTGAGTCGGCCTGCGGCACCGGCCCCTCGGTGGCAGCCACCGTGTTTGCCGTGCTGCTGCTGCTGGCTCTGGCCGCGCTCGGCGTCGTCATGTACCAGTACATCTGGAAACCGCGCCACTGTGAGTTCAGCCGTCCGGGTACATACCATCACCCG